ATCTCCCTTGTCTTTTATAAACGACTCAAATAACATAAGTCGCCCTACAATGACATTGAGGTGACGTACGGAATCCTCCACACATCATAGCCACCACCCAGTACACGAGGGTGTGTGGTTGTCCGCCAGATTGACATATGAGATAGTCATTTTGGACTAGGGCGCTGAAAATCAAATAACGGGCGACCGGGAATTGAACAGATGATTATCCCTAGAGGCTCGGGTAGTTGAGCGACCTTTTACTCCAGATGCATTGACAATCGAACGAAGGTAAAGATGAACACATATCTCCAACCAAGACCCTTGGCTATCATGCCACCTCGAATCGAGACTACAGATATAATTCAGGTCCATTTCATCACTAATAGACCAGTCTGGAGAGCTAGCTGGTAACGAAAACCTTTTATTTCCCTAGCCAGCGTTGCAAGGCACAGTCAGGAGCTTAGATTGAGACACATATCACCCATAACATCAAACTCCCAAAGTCTGCCCTGCTACTAGGACCCTATAGTTATCGCCGATGGGGAAAAATACAAGGGAGGCGAAGATAAATTGTGGCCGTTTGCCGTATTTATGTGCTGGGGCAGATCCAATTGGTTGAAACATATATGGGCTTAATGTCTTTATTATTAAGAAATATGGGAGACATACCCCTAATAAACACACGCAAGCAGTTGGTATGCGGTAAGCACTGTAACATCTTCACTAGATCACTCAAGGGGGTGTGGCATCAAGAACATAAATATAGCAATCAAGGCCGGCGGAATAGATGAGAAAATAATCAAATTGGCGAATAAGACAATATATATCAAATCCTTCCTCCATTGCGGCCAATTCTAGACGAGGTTTGAGATTCTTCAGTCCAATACACCACAAGGGACCACTTACTAAAGGATCATTCGGGCTGTTGGAGGGCTGGGGAATTAGGATGACGCTTGCATGCTACTCTTTCTTTTAGCATATTTTCTTCCCTTTGATGATTATTGTTTCTGGAATGACATTTCCAGTGCTAACCTTCGTCTGGGAAGAAACACGTGCGTATGATTCATCGAACAATAGAAAGGTTCCAGCATAGCGCTTATTTACTCGGATGATACCTAAAGCCCATTTGTATGATATCACATGGAGAGGCTCAGGTTATACCTGGTGCTAAGGTTTGATTTACAGATCAGAACTTATTGTTCGCCGCTGACTCTCGGGGACGCTCTTTTATATCTTCGCGCTGCCCTTAAAGTTTTCCCGGGGAATCATTGCGGGGAACTTTAGCATCTACACACATATTGAGTTTGGTTTGTGAACCAATGCACCTATCACCGACGACACTCCGTGGGTGGGATATTCGGCTGCATATCAAACCCAACTGCCAGGGCTTCTCTTATAGGACTGTAGCATGGGTCCCAAGTAAGCGGTGTTCGAGTGATACACTCCGTCGGTATAGACTAAAGCTCAATGCGCGTGCATACGGGGTACACGAGGAACAATTCTAATTTCCACAACTTGTACCTTGTTATCTGTATTTTGCTGTCCTGCTTTGAGCAAAACTTAAAGAGGATGGTTTCGTATCTCGGGTATCGATATGGCGTATTGTGCCTAACTAAACTGCCGTTTTCAAATGATCATCCGAGACAATAAGTTGTCTTTTGTCGAGTTTGAAAATTGATGGTCGATCTGACGATCGAATTTCGACGAACGGATATAGGTTGCGAGAGGCGGTGCATCTCTTCCTCGGGGGCACGATTTTCCCTTGCCTGGATCCGCAGTCTCATGACATGTTGCCTGGCACACACCTTATTCATTTCCTGGAATACAAATGTCTCTCTGACAATTCATCTGGTGCATACAATCATAGGGTGTGGAAAACAGTGCTTCCAGTCCGCTCAGCCGTACTTAAGCCACATACTAAACACGGTCAATTCTCAAAGTGCCCTTTGCCTTAAAACAGCACTGTGTTTGGCGTTAGGGTGAGTATGGGTGATATAGGTGATATGGGTAAGAATTCTGGAGACTAGTGGTCAGAGAGGCAAGAATAGATAAGCATAGAGTAAGAATACCTACCCTTAAACATGCATAGTATCTCTAGGGCACTTATCTAGATCTACCATTTCAAGATTTTAATTAATAAATTGGGCACTGTTGGCTATTAATATTTCGTGACAGATGGCCTTCCTCTTTTCTCGACCGTGCCAGAGACGGTTTGCGTATCAACTTATAGCCGTATAGCTGTTCTACAGCGTATACGAAGATAGATTGTGCAATATGATAATGCAATCATAATAACAAAGATCTGAATCTACAAAACAATCCAGTTAACGTCCACTGATTTACGCCTGGGCAGATATTCCTCATCTCCCACCGAGGTCAGCACAAGGAGATTCCCGATTTTGATCATCTTCTCCGGCTGCGAAGAGTCCCCACTACCGGCAGCCATCAACAACAAACCATCCCATTGTCCGGGTCGGTACCGGAGATGAATAGCGTAGTACGTCCCACGCACTCCGTAGATCTCCGGGACGAGCTGTTTAATCCAGTACCGGAGATCCCCATGATACATGCTCCCTTGGGCTTGGAAGTGCTCCCGTTCAACAATATGTTCAGGCACCGGCATACTCAAATCGACAAAGCATTTCATATACTTTATATCGCCATAGTCGCTATCGGATGAGAAGAGGATCTCCACCTCCGGTAGGAACACCGCCCCGTCGCCGCGGACCTCCCATGTCGATACGGACGGATGGTCCGCCGTCTCTAAGCGCGGCACATACAGGCGTCGCGGCTCGGAGATCCGGGCCCGGAAGGGGAGCATAGTGCCCCGGACTATGTGCTGAGTTTTCACCTCGCTGACGGGCGGGTAATCCGCCAGAACCGTGGTGATGAAGAAGCTAGAGCCTAGATTGCGCGCGACCTCCTGCACGAAGGCGAGCGGGTACTGGTCGAAGACGAAGCCCGGTTTGTTGGGCTGGCGCTGCTCCGGCATGGCAGTGGCGGAGTTGTACCATTCTGTCATGCCGAGGACAGACATGATCGCCTGCGCACGGCTGTGGCTGCAGTATCGGCTGGTCGCTAGGAAGAGGATCTGCTCGCGCTTGAGCTGGTGGAGGTTGTCCATCCCTGTGCGATGAAGGAGGTCGAGTACTTCGTGGAAGCCTGGGTGGACGAGGGGCTTCCAGCGCTCGAGAAGGTGGTCTGCTGGGGTAGTTAGATCGTTAAGTTCACTAGTGAGTGTGTCCTTTACTCGTCCGGTGAGGGAGACGAGCGTGTTGAAGGCGACGAGGGCCCCGTTGTCGCCTACCGTGAGGAGGTCGAGGTTCTTATTACAGATCCAGATGTCAGGGCGCAGGCACACTTCCTGCAGCGTCCACAGGGAGCTGAACCAGGGCAGGGTGGTCATGGGTGACGAGAACAGCCCCGTGGCCTGGAGCTGGTCGTGCGATTCCCACGGCGGGATACGTATGGAAGACTCGTCCCCATCCGAGAACTGAAGGTCCAGATATATGGAGGACATCCACTGGATGGCGCTGCGCATGCCGTCCCAGGACTTCGGAGCGGAGTCGGTATTCCACCAGGCGATGGCATGTTTTGCGCTCTTGAAGATGGATGCCTGGCTCGCAATTTCCGTCCACATAGCCTGCCGCAGCTGCTCGTCAAGCTCCTCCCCGCAGCCCTCCTGCGGAATGCAAACCAGATCAAACCAGATATATGGTGTATCCGTGGGAATCTGCGCCAGGATATCTGGTAGTTGCTCGACATCGAACAGTGAGTTCCGCGGGATCAGCCACGGCACGCGCGATTTCATGTTAACCCCAGGCTGATCGCGGAGCCGCCACCGGCCCCAGGTATGACTGATGGCTGTGTACGGGATGTCGAACTCGTATTCGTCTAACAGCGAAGAGGCCTCCACGGTCCTCCGCTCTTTCACATCCCACAAGTAACGCGGGAACCCGCGGATCTCTCCCAGCCAGGGGCAGGAGTCGATACTGGAGCCGGCGCTGCAGCGAGGATCCAGCCCAGGTAGGTCGCTACTCCCCAGGACCCGTCTCCCTGCACGCCAGACCGGGGAGCCCTCTGACCGGTGAGCAAGATAACTCTCGCCATCTGGGGAGTATGGTACTTGAGCTGGCTGTTGGGTGTGGCTTCGCGGGGAGCAAGCTTCAATCGCAATGGTTAGACAAGCAGCTTCCTGCGCCAAGTCCCGTCGGAGGTTCACCAGCTCGTCGCCGCTTCGGTGTATTACGAAGTTCTCGAATTCAGCGTTGAACAGCGTTGCCATGCACTTGTTGTAGATGCAGTTGAAGCGGAGTTTGTACTGGATCCCACCGGCCTGGTGGATCGTCTCGCGCTCTACGTGGATTTGTGGGTAGAAGTGAGACTCGTCGTCGCCAAAGAGGTCGTCGTAATCATCATCGTATCCTTCTTCTGCTTCATCCACAATACATGCTCGGGAACACGTCGCCCACCACTTCCAGAGAATGTAAAACGATCGTTCCTGCCCCGGGGTGAGATGTTGTTGCAGTCTTTCAGCACGATCATCATTAAACCCCGTGATGACCGTGCCATCAGGGCTTTTTACACTGTCGACCGCGCCCTGCTCCAGGGCCAGTCGATACATGATCGAGAGACACCTGCTGTACCCGTCTCCCATGCCCATGTCCTCACCGTATACCACCCGCATCAACGTGGCGAGGGGGTATCCCTTGTCCCTCTCGGTGCTGCGCACGGGTACCCAGTCACCGGGGCTCATGCTGTTATGCTGGCTTTTCTGTCTAATATAAGTGTAAATAATAGCAAGACGCTGGTAGTAGTGTTTATTCGTCGAGACGACCGACGAGGTCCGAAGCGGGGTTAGATATTAGAAAATTAAGCGAACGCGCTATTCTGCTATTGGCTGTGCTTCTGCTAGTACGGGATCAGATTTATTGATGCAGACGGAACGAATATAAGGAGGAAGGAAAAAAGACTAATTCTCAGTTGCACTCAAGACATCACTGCAGCCAAACCAACGACTACCGTCTCACCAACCGCTCCAAACAATCCCTCCCCTCCTGATGCCGCGCATGATACGTCGTAATAAGGCTAACTTTCACCGTCTCAGCCCCATGCCTCTTCTCCCCAAAAAGAATCGCCGGCCGATCCGCCAGATAATCAGCGAGCTTAGATTCCGTGCTCGTGTCCCGTCCAAACGATGTGTAGCGGACGATATGCATCGTCATGACAATGTATAGCTGGTAGCAGGTCCACGCGTACTGCACCAGGGGCGGCATCCAGAGAGTCGAGGCTAGCAATCCTAGCGGAAATAGAGCGGCGAAAAGCGCTATAATGCACAGCTGAAGAATCTCCCGGGTTCGGTTCCGGACTGGGTGGCCGTAGTGTCGGAAAAACTGCTGCACGAGGGCTGAGAGGCCTGTGAACAGCATGAGGTCGCCGCCTTGGGATTGGGGGAAGTGCAGGACGAAATCACGAGGTGATTCGGCTTCGGCGGTCGGCGTGGTTGATGGCGATGAGATGGAGGAGATAGGTGTGAGGGGCTCGCGGTCGAGGGCGAAGAAGGCGCTCAGGAGGCGGAGGAGAAGCGGGGCTAGCCAGATGAGACACCAGAGTGATCGGCCGATGGCGTAGATGACGGCAAAGATAATGATGCCGGAGAGCTCGGCGATGAAGATGCTGAGGTAAACGTGCGAGCCTGGTCGGCCGCAGTTCTCGTGCACAAACGCCATCTGCGAGGCTTTATCTTCTGCCGTTGCTGGAGTGAAGATGAGGTGGTAGACGGCGACTTTCGCTCGTAAAGGGATGCGGCCATTGTCTGCAGCCGGGAGGATGCCCTTCTCGATGGCAGCGCCCGTGGCTGGAGGGGATAGTCCTGCCAGTGATCCAGGTTTTTCGGCGGGTAGAGGCATGTAATGAAGAGCCCGCGCCCACATGCAGTTACGGGCTGCGCGGGGCTCGGAACTAGCAGTACCGGGAATGGTGTAGGTCCAGTCCGTTTGCTCAAAGAACGAAGTGCCCAGCATGTGGCCTTCATGGGCGCCCTTCAAGAGACCTCGAGCGTTGGCGATATCGAAGGTGCTCAGAGCGGCTTTGTGCAAAGGACCCCCCATGGGCATCAGGAGAGCCAGGGTTGGGATGGATCGAAGTGTGAGGTGGGAGAATGATCGCTGGGGCCATAATAACGACGAAAACCAGATGTCGTTGGCTGCCTCTGCTCCAATATAACCAAGCACCGCACCAAAGGCGCCAAAAACCCCGCCTTGGTCGGACATACCGCCAAGCGAGATGCTTTCTGGTAGCAAAGGGTTGTGGTCAGATCGAACTCACTCCTTTTGCCCAGATGGCCGGATCTATCATGTTAATGATCAGATCTGATGATATGGCCGAGTTTTGAGTTGGTCGGAGACCGGCTGAGCTGGTTAGTTGGTGAGCGGGTCAGCGTTGTCAGGCTGATCTAGGCTTACATGGGATTCAGCCGCAATATGGGGTTGTCAAAAAGTCCAGTCGGCCAAGGGTCATTCCATGATGGCTATCATGTTTTGGAAGTGTTCATGTAGAATCGGTCTTCCGATATATCATGCCCTTTGAATCGGGGACATGACACTAAATCAGTCAACATCATCCATGGGTGCCGGTTTGGTTCAGGTCCAAAAGCTTGCCAAGACGGGACTAGCTCTACCTAGCAGGAAGGCCACTTCATAACGTAGACCAAGCGAGTTGGGGAATTTGATACCTGTCAGAACCTATGCCTCGAAACTGGCTTATCAACTAATCCTAATCTGTTCGTAATCAACTCCCTTGGCCCCGTTAACTACGGCTACCTACCTAATACCTAACCCAGGGTAGACTTTGCTAACCTAACGTAATCAACCACCGCACGGCTCACACCGCCGAGCGACTGTCAGGCCCCAAGGCTCCAACTACTGCGGGATGCCTCAGGCACTGACACCGGGTAAATAGTGACGTGTTTGGCGCCTACTCACCACTGTTCTTACGGCGCAGCGTTGAATGATAATGATGTTGATTTCATTGGCTCTCCCTCCCACCCGTCTATATACATTCCCCCTCGTCTTCCTCCCCTATATGTTGATCCTCCCCTTCCATCTCACCCCCATCCACCCCACCAGAACGAGGTGCTGCCTAGAGGAACATGTCAGAAAGTTTCTTATCTCCAGTCATCGTGGGATTGAACAGGCTCCTACCGGTCGACCCGCTGCGTCAGCCACCACCAGAAAAGGTTCACGCCTCCGTTTAGGAAGCGGACGGCGAGGCGAATGCCTACAAAGGCGAATAGGAATTTTGCCGCGAATATCAAACCGTGCGACTCTAACAGATGGGCGAACTCGCCCACGGCAGATTCTCCAGCTACATACGGTCAGACTCGTCCTTTGCCCGACAATACTCGTGCAGTACACGCACAGTGGGAACAGCCACCTTACTTTCAGAAGGCATTTTTGTTAAAAAAAAAAGATTTCTGGCTTTTAGGTTTGCTTGATTCATATGTGATGATTTACAGGAGAGCGATTCAATACTCCTACGAGGCAATGTCAATTCCTCAAAGCCCTGGGGAAGGTGCTAATAGTCTAATTAGGCAGGAACGGCCTTGTACGAGTCTGGGTATATTCCAAGGGGAGGACCTCTCTCTCTCTTATTAAGGCAGGTACACATAGTCACGAGCCCGCAGGATAATTCAAAGTATCATTCAGTCAAATGTAGGGTGAGTTGACAAGGTTATAAAAGCAAGGTGAACGGAGTTTGAACGCAAAGTGATAGAATTGTGAGCGCGAAGCGATATAATTGCGAGAAATCTGTTTTTTATCTCTTGAGATCTGATAAACTTGTGTCTTGTGGAGTATTTTCGTAGCTTGGCGGAGGTATTTCAATCATATCGAAGGGGTTTTTTGAGGCAACCACCAACAAGCCCCCATATTGCAACTCGAATAATGGGGTGCCGAGAAAATTTAAGTATATCTTGACGGGATATCTCTTTCAGAAATTTCTGCACTATGTTCGGAGTGCTGACCTTTCGTCTTGTGATCTGACACCGTATCTGCATTTCCAAACAATTGTCACACGGCCAAGTTACACGATATGGAGGTTGTAGTAAGTGCTCAAATTGCAGAATGAACTAAGCTAAGGAGAAGAAATACAATATGGTGGGGGTGACTAACTGGTCAAGTTAGATCGCATGCTGGTTCATTAATTGGCGATTAACTAGTTATTTAACTAGTAATATACTATTCTTCAGTAAGGCAAATTCAGCAAAAAAGTGACTAACAATCACTTTTTTTTCAGCTCACCTTGTCTATATTCAATGATATAGAAACCTTACAACTCTAAATGAACTTTCCAGCGAGAATTGGAAACATGACCTTCGAATTTCTGTCTAGAAAGGCTCGAATCCTCACTGTTGTATGTTTTGCTTTTTTGATTCGTTGGGCAATCCCATCTTGTTATATGGTCGCATCATTGATTCTGTATATCAGATCACACTTTAAAGTTCATTCAAACTTGACAGTTTATTATTTTTACCAAGCTTGGTTTAACTGGACTCATTATATATCGTTTTGTCCGACTAGAAACAATACGCAGTACTGGAGAACATTTACACGTTAGCATATATCACTCTATGAAGGGTGTAGCTCATGTACCTTATTGATACCCTATATAACATATAAATTTCAGGAGTGCATTAAAAGTTTGAACTTTAAAAGAAAGGTCTTCGTTAAAAGGCACGGGGTTATCAATTTCTAGGTTCACTAAACCGAGAGAGCGTAGAGCTAGTTCATCAGAGATTAAATGTATATCAAGTTTGTTACCAAGCCACATGTACCTTTATAGAACTTCTTGGGGGGGCAGCGACCTAATATGGTTGTCAGAGATGGCAGGATGTAGATCAGTTGGAAGACAAACCGAGAGGATTATTTGGTGAACATAAGAGAATGACCTTGACTTTCCCCCTTCTTCGGTGGGTTGTTTTATGGGGCCTCTTTGGAGCAGTCAACTGCTTGTAAACCGAGGTCTCTGGGTAGAAGCGGAAATTGAGATAAAAGCGGAACATAGTGTTACATGTTACAGTCTTCAGATAATAGAATCTTCGATTTAGTCAACTATACTAAATACAGAAATGAAAGATGACAAGTATATTTAAAACAGAATATCGTTGCGCCAATAGAACCATATTGTTGATCAGGAGCAGGCTGGACAACATGATAGGGACTATCGCGTAACTGTATAGAACAAACCCCTAAGTTTAGTGCAGCTAGGCGGTTATGAAAACCCGAGTAGGGAGAACTAGTCGCTCTCAATCAAGTACTCGCAACCAGCACCGCAGGTTCACCATTAGAGATAGAGATGCAGATTTTTCCGCCTTCATCGGCAGTGATTGTACCCTCCCCAAAGGTATTCTTCCATGTCCCACCTGGCTTTTTAGAGTCAAAGCAGTGCTTAGCCTCAGACCCAGATCCACCGTTAGCCGTAAGGACAATGAGGTCTCCACCCGCCCTGCTCCACGCATATGCCGACTCGGCGACGTACAGATGGACATGGTCGTTGTCAGCGAGGCCACCGGCAGCCTTTCTCGCTGCCGAGAGCAGGGATATGGCCTTATACAAGTCCGCGTCAGTGCTGAATTTGCTGCGCCATAGGTCCTCGCGGTTTGCAGGGTCGTTGCCGCCCGCATAGCCCTGTTCCGTGCCATAGTAGACAATGGGGATACCCCGGGCGAGAATCACGTAGGCGAGTGCGTTTTTCAAAAGCGACTTGTCATTCTTGACGCTCAGCCATCGCGCATTGTCGTGATTGTCTATAAATGTGCCCAGGGCGCTGGGATCAGGGAAAGCCTTATCGATTTTGTCATGCATGTCAACAATGTCCTGGGAGGAGCCCTTTTGCTGGTAGAATTTGTTCACGGGATAGTAGACTGCGTAGTTGAGCAGGCCGTCCATATCCTTTGCGTATCCGGCAAGGTAGTCTGGGTCACCGTCCCAGACTTCGCCGATGGTGTAAACCCCGGCAGCAGAGGAGAAGGCTGACCAGAAGTCCTTTTCAACGTGCTTGACAGTGTCGATACGCAAGCCGTCGAACCCGTATTCAGTGACAAGCCATTTGACCCATTTCTGGAACAGGGCCCGGATCTCGGGACTCTGTGTGTTCACATCAGGTAGGTCTGATGCGATACGACAGTTTTCAATACTCTCCTGGCTTGAGTAGTCGATTGTGCAGGCGGAATGGTAGGAACTCTCCTGGTTCAATGGTTCCGGCTTGTTATCGCTGATAGGGCCTCCCATGTGGTTGGCAACTACGTCTGCCATGACGTAGATTCCCTATTTTCGAAACCAGTCAGTACCTTCCAACCTCGGCCGGAGGAAACGCGATCGATGGTACTTGCCTTGTCATGAGCAGCATCAACTAGACTTTTGAGATCATCGGCGGTGCCGTAGTTCTTATTAATGCTATAGAGATCCTGCGCCCAATATCCATGATATCCACCTGGAGCATCTATAGAAATGGTACCGTGGTCAGATAAGTTGTGTCGTCGAGAATAGAACAGCCTGAGGAATTAATCGAACTCACTAGCGATAACAGGGGTGATCCAGATTGCATCAAATCCCATCCCCTTAATATAGTCCAGCTTGGACTGTAAACCTTGGAAAGTTCCACCGCAGTAATTTCCAAGGTTGCCGCAAGCATCTCCACCTGTATCATCGCTTCCACGGGCAATGCGATCAGTCAGGGCAAAGTAAATATTGCGGGACTTCCATGCTTTCACGTCCGCCGCTGATACAGTGCATATCAGGGGGAGTAGAAAAGCTGTCAGGGTGTGGGACAGCTTCATAATGCAGGCAAAAGTGATGCCTCAAATTGTTGAAGACAGTAGTGGACCTGTAGTAAATGATTTGAGTGCTATACCGATCGGACAAGCTCGCCTTCTTTTATATCTGGATCTCCAAGATGTTCTCTCTACGCAGCCGGCCTCTGAGACCCTAACACTGCTTGCCATGATCCTTGGCACGGATTGCCAACCCTTCACAGATGTGGTTTCCGTGCAATATACTGCATCTATCCTGAAGATCTCTCCTCATCCGGTTAGCTCCCCGATAATAGGCCGACGGCCCCTGAAGAAAGGCTGGGGCAATGTTCAGACCCGCGGCCCCCAGACTCCGGAGAGGGGGATATGCGGACAGTTTCGCGTTAAAATGGTTAGTCAACCGTCAATCACACCCGCAATATAGCAATAAGTGACGATAATGGTCCATTGTCGGCCCGAGACGCTGTGATGCAAATTGGAGTTGTTTCAAATTGTTAAATATCATGATTGCATACCGTGGTGAGATTGCAAAGTGTTTTTCTTTGAATCCCCAGTGTCACATGTTCCACAGTAGACTAGATCTTTGCACATCATACTTTCTACGCAATATATCACGTTGTGCTGCCTCATCTACTAGCCTGTAGATCCTAACAGTTTTCAACCCGGAATATCCTCGGACCGCGGATTGGAATTCCTCATACAAAAGGGCATAATATGACAGAAATCTGGCGACGAACAATGTATGGTATGGATGACCGATATTGAGAACTTAACTGAAATGACAAAACCCGCTATTTCAAGAATCTGTGCGGAAATCGATGACTAACTGTATTATACAATTTTGTATGGTATGTCTGGTACCAAGTGTCAGTCATATGATTTTTCGGGTATAGGTCCTTAGGCTCACCGATCGGCCGTGGGCCCGGGGCAAGCGTCCAATAGGCCCCAAATAATATAAACACTCCGAACAATGTGACTTTTTTAATTACCCTCAGTTTATACCCCGTTTCTAGCCCTTATCCCGAGGTAATATTTTATTATTTTCATCGATCCAAAATTATTTATTAGTTAGGTCTATATATCATGTTTAAAAACGCGAGAAAACGCGGTCTTTATATAAGTTATAAATTATAGAAGTTCATTTAGAAAGTAGTAGTACTCCTATGTAAATCATAAATATATATCTAGTATAGCTATTAGAATTCTAAATTCTAAATTTAAACTCTATACTATTAGTAGAAGGCATGGAGTTTCTAATAGATATTTAGAATATAGCGATTATAAGACGCCGGTTTATAGGCGCTAAGATCCCTTAATAGGCTGTAATATGGGCCGTATAGGCCCCTACGAATAGACTACGGGTTGGGTTGGGCTTCGAAGATTAAGCCCGTAACCCACCAAGGGTTAGGCCTTGGGCCTGGGGTCCTGGCCGATTTATGGGCTTTACGGAGGTCTATAGGCTGCAGCACTACCACATTTAGAACCCTGCAATTGCGTTTAATACTATGAACAGACACCTACGCTCATGTCGCTATATAGCACAGGTTAATTGTGATCAAAACAGTCTACTATTTTTGAAAGTATTACGTTTGTTATTGTCCAGTGTAGAATACCCATATATTATTGCACCGGATTTCTGCCACTATCTAAAGCAACGACAAAACGGATGACATCAATAACAATACAACTTCATCTGCTGAAACTGCAGACTCCTGATGCAAAAAGACATTAAGGCTCTGCCCGTGGCTTCTGAGGAAGGCTGCTGCGATGACTAGTTTGTCGAGTAAAACGAATGTCCCTACCGTGCTTCTGGTTTCAAAGAAGTCTCTTGTGTGAAAAATTCTATCACTGACCTAGGGTGATAAAATAAAGTGTTTCTTCGGGCTACACTTGCACACACCCCAGCTCTGGTACCCAGCGGTCGAGGGAACTTGCTATGTCTACTGAGCCTATTGTGGCAGAGTGATGCGAGGTCAAGTTTTCACCCTGCTGCAATGTGTTCTGTTTCGACCGTCTGGTTTTACGTGAGTGTGATGCAGAATTTAACATCCCCTGTATGGAAGTAGCTGGGAACTGTATGTCAAATGGGAAATGTTAAGGTACCTTTTTCTCACTATGAACGCGGTAATACAAATGCAATTGTTTGTCTTTGTTTTATTTTTCTAATTTTTTTACTTAACCTCTGTGGTGACTACACATTCAAAATGACTGTTATTGCATGGCTGTGTTAATCCAATTTGACATAGGGACATAATTGTTGCTTCTGGCCGAATAGAATGAGATATCATAGGACATGTTCTTCGTTTCAAATCAAAAAGACCCTCAAAGGCGAGAAAGGTTGGAGAACTCTGCTGGAGCATGGTAAGTAGGGACCTTCATGTCCAGATCAGCTCCAGAATAACCAAGGTCCTCAGCAACCAGGACTGCGCACTTTTCACCGATAAGGAGAGCAGTCTATTGGTTGTAATAGTTAGTATTTGGCAAAACCCCGAAGGAACCAATAAAAGGAACCAATAAAAGGAACACTCACGCTGAAAGTGTTGCAGCCCACATTGTCAGGGCAGATAGATAGGTCACAAACCTTGAGGCCCTTGACACCATGTACATTGAGGCGTTCATCAACAACGCCACCATGGGGGGCGATAGAATTGCCCTCTCGCGGAGCCATACTGCATGTACCAAGGCAGTGCCAGGTTGTTTCGACGTGACGGGAAACTGCAGCAAAAGGGTTAGACGCCTTGATAAGAGGGGTAATTACAATGCTTGACACTTACTCCACTTCTCAATGTGCTTAATATCGTCATCACTATACTCCAAAGAAGGACGAGATTCATGTCTATTGGAGTTGAGAATTGAAGCCGAAGGCTGCTTTCCAGGTTCCAACGGAGTGGTCCAGGAACCTATATTCATTTGATTAGCCGAATGGGATATCTAGCTTGAAAAATATGAAGACATACCGTGTTGGATACCAGCAGAAATATGGTTCGACCCGGCGTATGCCTTGGTAGTGGCCAGGTCCATATCTTGCGCCCGTGCTGATGAGTTGAACGCAAACTGAGGATGCATGGCAGTGACCTCTCCAGCATATGATCCCATGCGCCGGGCGGTCTCACGGGATTTAATATATCCCCAGACCAGAGGGGCCATGTCACGTTTGTCATTCATGAAACCAGCATCAAAGTCAGGGACTTCGTAAGGGTCAGCCGACTGGATGTGAGTGTGTCCACGGGAGAAGGGGTATTCCTAATATCTTGTTAGCACTGGCTGATCCGGTTTAGTCAGTTATAGCATACCAGGAAATGGAACATTGTAAAGAACTTGCCCGGCGGCATGTGCATGTGGTCTCCGAACCAGCTATGGGGGTTAGCCTCGTGGCATTTCAAACGAAGCGGGTGAGATGCTTACCCGGAAATGATTGAGTAATGCATGACGGGCTTATCAGGCTTGTTCCGGAAATAGGACTCATAGCCTTCCGTAAAGTCTGGGGTAGGCCACTTCTTCATCTCCCCGAGCTCTTGCTCGGTAGGCCGAATCTTGACTCCGGCGTCGATACCGTTGGTGGCCAATGGACCTGTACCCTTCTTATCCCACTCTTCGAAGACTTTCTTCTGAACTTTGGGATCTCCACGAATGAAATCATCAAAGGACTCGACATCAGGCTTGGCGCGGTAAACTGAGAAAGTAAGGTAGTGGTCCTGGAAGTTTCGACCCACGCCTGGTAGGTTAACTAGGGGCTTGACGCCAGCCCGGCGCAGCTTCTCAGGATCACCAAAGCCGGACCTCTGGAGAATAAGTGGGGAACTCATTGTGCCTGAACTAATAATGATTTGCTTCCGGGCTTTGAAGATCCTGCGAACTGGCTCTCCGCCGTTCAGAGGCTTAGTTGGGACTGTCACTACTCCCACAGCACGACCATTTTCAACAATGACCTTCTCAACCTTAGTATTGCATTGAAGGTGGAGATTGGTGTGCTTGGCTCGGGTACTGTGGACATAAGCATGGGCTGCATCACTTCGTCGTCCTAGTACCGAGTGTCAGAGAGGTAATGATATCAATCTAGAATTAGACCATGATTCCTACCTGTGTCACGATTGATCCATTTCAACCAGTGTTCAGCACCGTGGCTGTAATATTATGACTCTCTGTTAGCAAGATACAATGGGCGATATGTAATGGACCTCATACGCAGTCTTCAGATCTTGCAAGTCATCAGTGAATGGAATGCCCTGCGTCTCAACGGCGCGAAGGAAGTCATTCTTGATCGGGTACGTATAGTTTCCAAATGATACCTTGATAGGTCCGTCGGTGCCGTGTAGTTCCGGGTTATTGCTAGCACGTTGGTATGTCTCATGCTTCTTCATCAATGGAAGAAGTTCCTTGGTTGTCCAGCCTTTTGCCTGAAAGTCGTCGTAATCAGACGCAGACGCTCTGGTATACATCTTCAATGAATTCATTTAGCTTAGAACGACTGAATAGAAAACTTCAAACGGGCATCACTAACCATAAAGTTGATAGAACTGCCACCTCCAAGAACGTTGGCGCACGGAACAATAGCTTGACGACCATCTAAATGCTCGGATGGCCTGGATTGATAAAACGATGCCGTCTTTGAGTCAAGCTTCATGTTGTTTGGGTATATACCCGGGCGGTACACCCTAGGTCGAGATGAGAATCCATTCCCTGAAAGTGGTAGCCTTGGCGTCCTCACCATTGATTGTTCAAGTTATCCTCGCCAGCCTCTATCAACAACACGGACAGATTGTGATCGAGGTTCGCTAGGCGACCGGCAGGGACACATCCCGAACTGCCGCCACCGCAGATGATGATATCAACCTCATCTGGAATAGTCATGACTCTGAATATATTGACAGAAGAGTGAATTGAGAATAGTTGCCGAAAGGATGCTTGAGACAGCAATCAACCTTTTGATGAGACCTCCCTGGTGACCTTATATAGCTGTGCTTTGGTGTCCGTGGAAGTATCTATAGAGCCAATTTCCCCACATCATTTCCTCAAATCAAGTCATATGTACAGCCAATAACCCTATACCTTGACCCCGCGTGCGGAGACAGAGTTCAAGCGCTCTTGTGTAGATTCTGGGCGACGAAATGTGCCAGGCGGGACTTTGGTCGTATTGGTCAATATTATACATACGTGGATATACAACGTTGATATATGATCGACCAACTATTTTCTGCTTTCAGGTTTATTCTACTAAGTTAGAGTGAGTATATAGTCCATTTATTCATCAATGAAGTTTTCCTTTCATGTAGATCAGGTGAACACTAAAACATTCATACTACAGACTCGATAATTGCGGTCAATCCTTAGCTTAGGTGGTATAATCATATACTTGAATTTGTATATAGTACTACGGAAATCCCGGTTCGGTGATAGCAATAGCCAATAGGACTAAATTCCGCAGTGGGACACCTGTCGCCTGTGGAGGTTAACAGCAGACTTCATCTTCGTCAAAAAGTGCGTTCGTCCTCGACGCACTCCAAGGAATATGTCTCCCTAATCACGCACATTATATTCGCACAGTGGAAATGCCGAAATCACAGTCTTTGTGACACATCAAAAGAAAAACTGCTGATTATCTTATCTTATTTTCCAAGTTGACTATCGCTATCACATCTCAAACAGTACAAAGCAAAGAACTCTCTAATGGTGCTTTTTGAAAGGTTCCCCGCATTCGATGTATGGCTGTCGTCAGCTCAATTGATTGCCTAGACCAAGCTCTTACAGATTGTATGCAGGTAAGATCCCTCCATACGCCTGTATGGATAATGGAAGTCTGCGTGGGGTCAAAAGCAGTTTGTTGAACGCATCCGGCAAAAAGGATAAACTCGATGTCCTGTACTCCAAGTTATTTCCACGTACAAGCAAATGTTTCTAACTTGTAGAATAATACGTCAAATAAGTAACTAGGGAACGAGCCTGCGTTTAATGCCATCCTGTAGCTGTTCCCTTCCCGAAAGTTCCTTGCGGGTGAGAAACTAAACAACACTTGCTTCAAACTTTCGAAAAACCAAATATAACAGATTTGACCAGGTGGAGTGATATTCGGATTGGCCGGGAAGCATGATTTAGTGCAAAATGTGGCGACCTCTGAATGCATTAGTCTCCTGCGGAGATTGTCACTATTCCCGCAGTACCCGTGCCCTAAATAGTAACTTTGCGGGGTAAATTTGCTGGCGTTGGGTACAAAATCATTTTTACGCAAGAGGTGGCCGACGTACATTGTTGATACAAATTCTCATTGGAGGGAATTTGACACATCACAAGGAAGTGAACCTGCACGGTACTTTCACACATCACTGTAGGCTAATCGTTTCTTGGGGACTCTCGCTCACCGTGTGGTATAGCCGAAAACTCATATAAACCGTGCTCTTTATCGCCGAGTTAGGGATGACTTAATGTCTAATTCTGCTTGAAGCGTCTAGGAGATGGACAATATCAAGTACATCGCAAAATATATCTTCCACCAATCAAACCGGCATCCAAACCAGAAAGCGAATATATGACACCAAGGAAGAGGGAAAAAAAAAGATGAACGTGATGTAAATAAAAAGTACTTTTAAATTATACACGTATTCGAAAAACGCAGAAAGTCGAGATAGTTCCGTCAGAATTATCATGTTTTCCCGGAGCCCAGACAATAGTGAGCCCCCTTTCAATTGTTCCAAATCAGGTTGTCGTGTTAGTAACGTACCAATTACACTAACGGCCGAGAGAAATGTAGAAAGTTATCACTTCACTAAGTAGTATATCTAGTTTTGGGGGTTTGATTGTTCTTTCGTCGACAACCCTTGCCTTGACCGTGTGAAAGGATGCTCAAGAAGAGTCCAAGTCCTATATAGCGAGATATCTAGGTGCATGGTAGAATGTGGGAATGGAGGCTAGATTTTCGGGAAACTAGAAGGTCAAACAGTGAAATATAAAGATGCTATATAATCAACTAAAGCAACCTTGGAAGAGGAAAGAATGGAGTCCAGGAACGGGTATCGAAGGAGTTTTCTCCCCACTCTCGGGGCTAAGGTTCCAAACCAGGATGTAGTCAAATCGCAAAGAACCTCGATCCAACCACACGGCTTTATCAAAGACTCAATGTGGGTCTCTTTCAAGACACAATAAACTTCTAGCTAAGAAGATAAAATTAGACCATTGACTGTTTTGAACAAGAGCAACATCCCCAAAACCCAAAGCTGATTATGTCAAATCCAAGGGAACTCAACCCGGCAGGCAAAGTCAGAGATAGTCCAATTTAGTATGTTGCTATTTTCCTTTTGGACGTATTTGGAGGTGCTGTGTGTGAATACGAGCCATACATGCTAGTTAATGACCTTTCTTCGCGCGGTTGATCTTCTCGTTTCTTGAATGATACTCAATCCTTCGCTCGGTGTTTGTTGAACTGTCGACTGATCTCAAACATACTTCCCGGCCACCAATCTTCATCTTTCTTCCACAGAGACATACACCATCGCATATTTTGCCTAAGGGAGATAAGCTGCCCAAGTTCCCAGGCTCCAATGCCACCGATCCACCATACCTTGTCCAGTAACATAACCAGAACAAGCCAATGGGCAAATATATCCAGGGCGAGCTGATGTGCTCGACTAGGCTCCGAGTTCATGGGATTCAGGGGACAGCTAGTTATTTCGTGTCCACGCGGTGCTCCGCTTTTCATGAGATCCATCATGTCTTCAACCAAGTTCAGATATTTCGTAGGAGCTTTGTGAACAAATGCCACAATGAACCTTCGCGGAAGATTCGACGGGATTATCGACGTTATTCTGGCTGTGTATCTCCGCATCCAAGGCGAAACTTTGGAAACTTGTCCGACCGGACTAATATCGACCTCGGAAGCGAGACTGGAATGCGCTGGAACGTTTGACATCAATTTCTCACCAGGGAAGGTTTCGGATGCAATGTTTTCAAATAGTTCTAACGCAGCAAAACATGCTTGAACATCGGAGTCATTATGGATAGCTGGTATATCACCCTCTTGATAGCCACCCATCCCGCTTCTGACGATTTCTTCGGCCCTTCTTCGCAACTCTTTCACTGCGGGTACCACCGTAGCAGCTAAAATAGGATACAAAGCGTGATCCTGGGGGCTCATTGCCTGCTCACCCCAAGATGTCACCTTGCATTCGCAATAGATCTGAAAATCGCAACTTGAAACAGGGTGAATAGGTGACATGACCGGGGCAAGTTGAACGATATCCTCTGTTTTAAATCTGTCGTTGAGTAATCCTGTATAGGCCACGCGCACGGCGCGGAAGAGACTAATCCATTGACAGCTTTTTGGCATAAACCGCCCCCTTTCTAGGTCATCGTCGGATGCTGTTTCCGCCAGCCAGATTCTGACACGATGACTGCTCGATCCATACATTCCCATAATAGCCGCATTTGCAAGAATGTGGTCGTATTGATCAGTCTCAGCGAGTGTGGCTTGTATCTCCCGCAGTGATTCCATGTGATATTGCTCTGCGATAGATAGAAGCACCACGACTCGTCCACGGTCTCCATGTGATATTGGCGGCTGGTTGATAATATCGCAGCATTTACATACTGCCGAGAATGCGAGGATAGATTTCATGAGGACCTTGTTCTGGAAAGCTAGGTTCGGAATTCCGACCTGCAAAGTGTATTGGTCTTCCTCGTCAACGGTCATATCTTTGCTAGTGTGCTCAAGATAGTGATTGAGCAGCGTAGACTTTATAGGCGTAAGAATCTGTGATGTTTGTGACTGCAAGAGCGAGTTGGGATGTCTGTCGTCACTCAACAGGTTGTGTGCTGGTTGCGAGGTAGGAACCCCTGGTGATGATATTGGGCTTCCGACAACTGCCGACGAGCAACGTGAATTTGCAGAGCTATTCGATTCATAGTTGATGTGTGGAATTTCATATTGTAGCAAGAGCTCCGCTTGCTTCAATTCGAGGTCAGGTGATAGGATGTCGCATCTTCTTGGATATTGGCATATCAAATTCATCTTATTGCATCTTGAGCACTTTGGCTCGAGTTCGTCGCACTGTATACCGATATTAGATAAGTATTACAATACCCTTTAGCCATATGCCATGCGTACTTTGATTCTGCGTGCCTTGCATTTTTCGCAACCATATCGCGACTTTTTATGTGACCTGCGCGTCTTCATATTGGTACAACTTTTGTTTTTGCGTGATTTATCCATGAGTTAGAATTTAAAGCTAAGTGAGAGAGGAGGCTTTTATCAGGAGTATATTGAGGCTCGTTTCTAGAATTTTCAATTCTATCAGCAAACTCAATTCTATCAGCAAACTCACTCCTAGTGCCCTGGAAGTCTAGCTGTGGAGGTATTCCAAATATTGTCTTACTCAATTTTGTATTGTGCTAGAAACTAAAGTCCTGGGCGATCACTAACTAAATGGCAGTTTCTTTTGCCATGGCCTACTACCATAGGGCTCTATTCCATTTGGAAGGTACTCCGCCCACCGTCAGCAATCGACATCAGTGATATAAATGGTTGGGAGTACGGGAATTGAGGCTGTGAACTACATCCTTGTGCCCAGGTGGAGATGAAGTTGTTTCTAAGCAAGTGCTGCGCCCCTTATGTGTGGATGCTTGGCATTCAACTCGAAATATTACCTACGTTGCCGCGGGGACGCCACGCTTCAAGTATTTCTTGTGTAGAGCACACCAAAAGACTTCTCATCTCCTAGCTCAATGCACTTTCACTCCGTAGTTCATAGGGTTGGTTCATGTCAATAAATCCTTTGTTGGATGACTATTAAATTTCCCGCGTGAAATGCCAAGAGAATCGGCCTGACGGCTTCATGCAAGTGCGTATTCGCTTAAACTAGTCAGCTTCAAAAATATTATTCATGGAGTATGTTGTAGAGATTAACCCCGATTATTCCCTCTTTTGACAATTTATGGTACAGTTGGAAAACGAGTTCCAACGGAATCCACCCCTTATTAGCAGCAAGCGCGTTCTGTAAACCCAACCCGCCGCCTTATCAATCGCACGATCATCAAAGCGACGATCGTCTAGATAATCCCAGCAATGTGTTCAGTAGTGCGGGTCAGCGACGAAGAAATAGGGGTCACCGAGGATCCACTTTAAGGAATTCCTCTCTCCGGAGTACTCCGTCCCCCGAGTTGTTTTTCTACGGGCATCTAAGTGGCTGAGCACAGTGACCTTTGCGGTGATGGATTCTAATATGTGGGTCATCTGTCCTTTTGAAGTAGAAGAGCTAGTTAATAACAATTTATCTAATAAATCGAGATTAAAGAGATTACAGGCCTCGTGAGCTTGAGCTGGGCCGCAGGCTTACTGGCAGCCCAGAGAACCTCGGAAGAAAAGTCTCAAGCCCACAGGATTTCCTACGTTAACTACCCACGAAGCTTAGCGTCGATATTACGACTGGATATTCTGCATCCATCGCGTATAGAATACGCCCTATGTGATTCATCTTAGTCCAGGATACGGTCGTTGACCATGGGCTGGTCTACAGAGCTACAATGTTCAGATATATAAGGGCTCATATATGCCGAACTGGAGAGACAAGCATATCGGTTTCACAAACCCATCTACAAATCTACCATACCACCGTCAATCCAACAGGTTATGAAGTTAAGCTTGTTTAATGCAGTTCTCTTCAGCCTTACAGCCAGCTCGTACGGCTGGGAGCATAAAGGCCATGAGTTCCGTCCACCACTGCCAGGTGACAGTCGGTCTCCATGCCCTGGTCTGAATGCCTTGGCCAACCACGGCTGGCTCCATCGCTCAGGGAAAGACATCGACCTACCCGCGTTCCGATCCGCCATAGCTGGCGCCTATAACTACGAACCCACATCTATGGATGGGTTTTTCGAGCTAGCGCTGAACTTCAACCTCTCGACCACGGGGAACCAATCGACCTTCAACCTTTTTGATTTGGCAAGACACGACGAGATCGAGTTTGACGGGTCACTGTCGCGCAATGACATCTACTTTGGCGACAATGTGCACTTCGATCATAACATCTGGGCGACGGTCGCTGAGAACCTCAATCTTTATGATACTCTCGGCTCTGACATGAACCAATATATCACTGTCGAGACGGCGGGCAAGGCTTGTGCGGCACGCGCGGCCGAGGCGAAGAGGGCCAATCCCAGTTTCAATGCTTCCGCCATGCAAATTATGGGCAACCCTGGTACAACGGCTCTCTATTTAGTGACTTTGTGGGATGAGGCCGCAGGCGCCGCGCCGAAGCCTTGGATTAAGGCTCTATTTGGTATGTTCCGCAATCTTTGCTTGCTATATTAGCACTACTATGGTCTATCGATGCTTACTATCTGACAGAAGAAGATCGTATCCCTTACATTGAGGGATATAAACTGCCTAAAATCCCAAGGACCATGGATGATGTAAATGAAATGGCAAAGAGAGTGTCTGCGGTAAAGGTTGAGGTCTAGCATAGAATGCCCGATGTCTATTCTGGCTTGGGGTATAAAGCGTGTACTCTGTACGTGCTGTTGCCGGAATGAAGTTCAATTTACTAGAACTAAACTTTGAAGGGCAAACATGGATAAAGCACCTCTATCAAATGTCCAATCTGGCAAAGCTCGCCACCTAGCGGTAATCTCAAGCTCATTTGATTTCGAATTTACATATGCGCCTAGCACCATCCATCCTCGCACTTGGCCACCACAACCCCATCACAGCTTGCTAGAAAGCCAACAGGCCTAGTTACTTGGTCTATAACAAATTCGATATTAAAGTTACGCTGAAATTGAGGGCTGTGAATAGCGCGTCTTATAATCGCTATATTCTAACTATCTAGGAGAAACTCCATACCTTCTACTAATAGTATAAAGTTTAAATTTAGAATTTAGCATTTTAATACCTATGTTGTATACTAGATATATATTTAGGATTTATACAGGAGTACTACACCTTTCGAAATGAACTTCTATAACTTATAACTTATCTAAAGAACGAGTTTTCTCGCGTTTTTAAACATGATATATAGACTTAACCAACGAATGTTTTCGAATCAATTAAAACAATAAAATATTACCTCGGATAAGGGCTAGAAACCCAGCCTGAACATAGGATAAGTAAAAAAGTCACATTTTCGGGTGGTTATATTATTTGGGGCCTATTGTGCCCTTACCCCCGCGCCCAAAACCCAGCCCATTAGTGGGTTGGGGCGGGTTGGGCGTTGGGCTTTGGGGGCTCTGCAGAGATCTAATTATGACATCAGGACCACATTGGAGCCGTGGCAAACTTGTTGAGAATTCCCATTTTGGAAGGTTGTTCTAGCATATTCCAAGATTGATCTCCATGGATAGCTACCCAAGGTACGACCTAATAGACAGGGCTCATGTACCCTCCCGGGGTCCCCGACCGGGACTCAAAGCCCTGAAATTTCAGTACCGCCTTTTGAGTCGGCCCGAAAATCCCGGCCACATGCCGGTCTTGGCAAGGACCGCGTATGTATTCTGCCACTTTATATTTTCTGCCCTATGATCTGTCCACTTTATTGAGTTTTGCTTGTATAGAAAAGGAGCCTTCAAAGAGTTTATTTTTGTTGTAAATATTTGCCCGTTCTGCATGATTCGTGCACTAATCTAGTACAAGTTTATTGCACTGGTTTTCGATGCTCACGTCCTCGACCGTCATATCCCGCCGATTTCGGGGCCTCTCTCGTGGTCTCGTTTAGAACATCCAGGGGTGGGAGTGGGGGAGTGGGCGTAGGAAGTGGGGGGGAGAGTGGGGAGTGGGGGGGGAGGTGGAGTGCGACGATCTTAGGTGCTGAGTTGGAGAGTAGACATTCCAGTTTTAGAGAAGCCACTATGGCAATAAAGGAGTTAGTAAAAAAGAAGGGAAATGAAAGAGTTAATGCAGCAGTTGGTGACAACATACATGTATGTAGTTAATAAAACGGTAGAACCATAGGCGAGAGATCAAATGTGATTGGAGTGACTTACTTTTATTAGTGGTTCACATACAAAGTGTAGGTACCTACCATCATGCTGCATAGTTAATGGACTGTATTTAGAAATTTGTAGGAAATCAGGTATCAAGGCAGCAGGACTACCTAATTAGGAAAGTGCGTCTCAAATATTTAGGCAGGGTAATTTTACGAATAGCCAAAGAGTAGGAGGGTACGATTATTCATAAAGGAAGAGCTGAAATCGTATTTAATGCCCCTTTTAAAACACCAGAATAGAAACGTCATGTATGGGACTCTTTTGATCTTCTGTATAACAATATAACAAAAATTGAAAATTGGCAAATTCGATCCACAAATTCTAGTGCATATATTTCCCAAGAAACCCAAAACAACAAAGAGGACCAAAAAAGCAAAACAATCAGAAGCTTCTAAACACGCTTCCCTTCAAATCCTTCGGCAGGCCATCCCTGGAGCGTATCTCCATCCTCAACATGGTCACCCGATAGGACTAGAGTATGCTCTAAAAGACAAGCATCTTGGCCCATAGAAGCACCGGACATCAGGCGTGATCCAGCGCGCAGGATACTCCGATCCCCAACATTCAAGGTATGCAACTCGAAGCCACCGCGCGAGTTCAAGTGGCAAACCAAACTGGCATCGTCAACAGCAACACGGTCACCAAGAGTGAGGAGATCAGGCTCAGTGAAGAAGATGCTGGGAGCACCGTTGGCATGAATTGCACAATCCTTTCCAATCTTCGCGCCCAAGAGCTGGTAGTACCAGGAAATGTAAGCTGAGCCGGAGATCATGGGCAGAAGGCCAACTCCGTCATAGCAGTCTTTGATCAGAGTCTCGCAGGAAAGGAGGAATTGCCAGCGCTGGTTGTAGCTGCTCTTGTCCCAGTGGTATTCGCCTTCCTGACGGCGGCCGACGACCATCCATTTAATGCAGATAACGATGCCAAAGGCGAGGAAAACTTGAGCCGAGGTGATGACAGATAAGACCGAGGCGAGAGTGCCGTACAGCACGAATGGGCGCCAGGCGCCTTGCTTGAAACCAGCAGCATCACTGTAGTTTAGGATAGCCCGCAGGACGAAAAGGGAAAACAAGACGGTGAGGAGCCAATAGACAGTAGTGACAATAACTGCAAAGGTAGAATATATGACGATTTGCCACATCCGGAGGACATAATAGCTGGCCTCGTGGCGGTAGAAGGCGCGACCGAAAGGCTTGCAAGTATCCACCTCCTGCTCAGCGGTTTCGGTAACTGTCCCATCCTTACTACTATAGCAGGGCTGCTTCTCAATAGGTGATTTCTCGATTGGTGTTTTCTCGTCTTCGCTGCTACTGCTGGGACTGGTGGTACTATCTCCGACGATGGTTGGAGCGGTGGAAGTGGTTGTCGAACTTGGGAACTGAATAGCCTCACCACCCTTGCTACCAGTCCAGACAGTATTGGCGGGATAATCACCGTTACGGCGGAGCAAAGCACCGGAGCCGATCATGGCTTGACGGCCGATGGTAGCACCAGGCAAAGCAACAACACGATCACCAACCATAGTGCCATCACCAATCACGATACGGTCACGACCGTAGCCATCGGATGTGACCAAAGTCGAGCGAGAGCCAAAGACAACATCATTACCAACCTCAATGAGATCAAAGTCAACAGTGACGGGACCAACACTGGGCCAGTAGACATGTTTGCCAACCTTTCCACCAAGGGCACGGACGGCCATTGAGACAAATTCGTAGTGACGACCAGTAAGGCGGGTGAGTTCGTGGATGTCTCCAGCGGGTAGAATCTGCGCAAGCACAGCACTCCGAATCTTTTGGCGAGTGGTCTGTTTTGAGGCGGGACCGGGCTTGGGCTTGCCACAGATGAGATCAAGGAACCACTTGATGATCAAGACCGCAATGAAGAGCACAATCGGGCCACCAACAGCGCGACAGATTCTTGCGGCAATGTGGAATGCAATTCGGTTATCACTGGTGTACCAGTTTAGGGTAGAACGGAACATGTCGGCCGCGGGAGCAGGGAACACGAGAACCATAGGGATAAGACCAGCCATCCAAGTAATACGAGCGGCCGTCCATGTGATCAACTTGATTGGCTCAACAATAAAGACAACCCAGAGCCAGTGAGGTTCAGGGATCTGAGAGGTAAGCAATTGGCGGTTAGACTCATCGGCGTCCTGGAGTTCCCAGCTCGACGAGTTGGGACCGATGCAGGTATTCTCGGGGATGTCGGCACCAGGAGCGACGACAGATTTGATACCAATAGCCGAGTCCTTGCCAATGCGAATGCGCTTCAAAAGCATAGAGGTGTTGCGCTCCACGCCGAAGGGGCGACACACGCACGTATCCAAAACAACATTATCCCCAATCTCAATCAGATCATACTCACCAAGCTTAGCGGATGGGGACACGGTAACGTTTTTTCCAATCTTCGCGCCCATCAGACGGTAGAAAAGAATACGGGACCAATTGTAGTTGTTGAAGATGCCCTTTCCACACACCTGCATCGCCTTCTGGGTCAACCACCAGCGAGTGTGGTACGGGCCCCACATGGGGGACATGCCCTCCTTGTAGCGCCCGATGACGAGCCACTTGAAGGTGATGGCAAAGATGGGAGACACAATTTGTGAACATAAGCGAGCAGACATCACGGCGAAGACAACCAGCATCAAACGAGCGATAAGGTTGTCACGGATGGGGAATCGAGTTGAGCACTCAGCCACGACATACGCGAACATTATCCATTGGAAGGCGCGCTTCATGGGGAAAAAGAACACCGTCGGGAACAGATGCAGGACCAAGATAATTGGGTTCGTGCTGCTGTATGTCTTCTCGCAACCGGGCAATTCAACTTCCCCGTCGTCACCCTTGGCCGCTTTAACTTCAATGGCATCAAGGATCTTGTGCTCTATCTCTCCAACGGTGCTGTGGTGGAAAAGAACATCACCGGCCAGGAAAATACCAAATTCGCGGCGAAGCTGCGAAACCAAACGACCAGCACTAAGACTATCACCACCAGCGGCGAAAAAGTCTGTGGCAGCGGATATTTCCTCTGGCGCACAAGACAAGGCGACGGCGAAGATCTCACGCACGCGGCGCTGAGGGGGCGATATGTCACCATCCGAGTTGCGGGCGTGTATGGCCTCATTGATAGCAGCCTGGTCGGGGTTTCCATAGAAATCGAGAGGCATCGGACCTTTGAGGGGAATGATACGGCTAGGTACAAGGTAGCCATCAAGATGATCGTGGAGCTGGCCGGGTGTCACATGGTCATCATCAGGGTCCTGGACAAACAAAACAACCTGCGCGAGACCGTCACGTGGATTTATTTGCACGTGTACGTCAGGGGTATTTGCTTTCTCAGTAAGAACTGAACGGATGATTTTCTCGTCGACAACACATGCTTTTTTCTGGATCGATGCACTGAGCGGAGCACCAGTGGGCGGGCAGACAGCATGGTAGTGGCGGTTTGCCAGGGGTGTGTTCGTGGTTAAGGTCTCCAATGACAACCGCTCTGCAAGCTTGATGCGCTGGATCTTGTTGTTTGCCTTCGGCACACCGTCCATGTATACAACCAGAGCGGGCCACTTGGGTTGGTGGAGAATAGGCTGCAGAGCTTCGTGTATCTGGCGAAGATCTGGCCTAGTGGCCCCCGGAGGTGTGACTATAACCACACCGACGACCTCCTGTAGTACCTCGTCTGGGACAGAAAAGGCCAATGTCTCAGTGACCCGGCCATACAGTGGAGACTCGGGATCCTTGGCCGTAGTCAGCACGGCGTTTTCCACTTCGACGGGCGAAATAATTTCTCCACCACGGTTTATGACCTCCTTACTGCGACCAGTGATGTACAGGTAGTTGTCATCATCGAGATGTCCAAGATCACCTGTATCAAACCAGCCAGATTCGTTGAATGCGTTGGTATCGATCTTGCCCTCGGCGGTCAGGTATCCCTCGAAAGCGGGTGATCCACGAATGCAGATATGTCCGAGCATCCCATTTCGCGAGACAGGCTTGCCACTCTCGGTCAGAATTGCAACCTCGGGACCAACGATCTTTCCCGATGTTCCAGGGCGATCAAGCTTATAGTCCCTTGGCGGTGCGGCAATGGGCATACATTCAGTCATGCCGTAACTAGGGAGTATGGCGCAGTGGAAAACATCACGAAGCTGCACAGCAAGCGTTGGAGGAAGACCGCCACCAGCGTTGCAGATAAACTGGATGGCGCTTTGCTTAACCGCATCGGGGCGGTGCTCGGCTTCGGCGAGGACCATTTGGTGCATCGTGGGTGTGGCATAGTACCAAGTTGGTGTCATATGAGGGCTTTGCACTGCATCCCAGAACATGCTGGGGTCAAATGAGGGGCAACATATTGTGGCACCGCCGGCCAAAATGGGGAGAAAATACTGCGCATGATACCACCACTGATGCTGTTAGTTGTCTTCCTATGATATAATTTGGCAGGGAACTTACACATGGTTCAGCGGCATCATATTAAGACAGGTATCCGTCTCGGACAGTTCCACCGACTCCATGGTGGCGATAGTACCCGCGATGAGGTTGTAAGTTGTGATAGGAACCAGCTTCTTAGTACCACTAGTACCACTAGTGAACAGGATGATTGCAATATCGTCCCCGGAATTGGGGGGATGGTCATATGCACTAGAAGCATTGTGTACAGAGACCACTTGGAAAGTCATATCTTCAAGCTGCTCAATACCAAACACTGGCCGACTACCGTTGTTCAGCTGCAACTTGCTGATGTCAGCGTCCAGCGCGACAACAGCGTCAGCTTGCGAGTTTTCTATATCTGTCTGCAGTTGCTCTGGGACCGTGTTTGTTGTCATAGGCACAATGGTGTACCTGTTGACGAAAGCAAGAACAGCAACTGCCATAAGAGGGCCGTTAGGCAGGATGACAGCGATGCGAGGCTTTCCATGGCGGGAGAGTCCCACGGGAATCTGGAAACCCTCCAAAAACTGCCGGATGGCAATATGTGTCAGGTGCCGTCCGGTGTTAGCATCGATGAGACCAGCGCGGGAGTCTGTGCCTATTAACTCTGCGACGTTGGGAGTGGCTGCTTTGACTTGTGCACGAAGCCGAGTAATTGATTCATTGTTATTAGTCTTGTGAGATTCGGGAATGGACTTGTAAATATCCTGATATGTTGGAATTAAGTGACGGATGGGCCAAGGGCCAGTGTGTGTGGATAATAGGGCGGAGAGGCGGTGGGAGGAGTCTGGGTGTGATGCCTCATCGCGGAGGTGTAGAAGCTGTTCTATAAGTCTGTTTGATAGTCAGAATCGGAAGAAAATTCAATTGAACAACCCAAAAAGGAGAACAAAGAACAGAATGATGAATGTGATAGAACATACGAAGATCTTGATAAGTCCGCCATAGTGTATTTCTAGTGTAAATAAATTCTCAACTCAATCTGATATACCAACCCAAAAAGGAGAACTCCTTCACGACTTATATGCTGCCCCGTACCCTAGTACCATCCACTATCAGCCTGATATACAACCCAAAAGGAGAAGTCCTTCACAATGCGTACACTAGTAATACCCACTTGGTCCACCCACAGCGTGCAAATTACATCACAGACCTCATCAGGGTCCCGAAATCCTTCATACAAAGTACGGCGGCAAACTCGCTCGGGGCCGAGAAGAGAAAGATCCACAGAGCACACTGATCCCTATATGTTTGACCCACGGAATTCCGTTCATGATGTGAGAGATCAGCTCAGCCCTCAGATTGTACACCATGCCGCTGGATGGGACGGTATTGGCTAAAGATAGAGACAATATGCCGTGTACTATGGTCTCCGGGTCATGATGTGATCCTAACCCAGCGTTTTGATAGTTATTGCAGTTTTCACAGAGCCCGAATGTCACAATCAAACCCCTGTTTCATTGAGCTTTTCGTTATTAAACTTTCTACTGCTTATTTTCGAATTTCTTATTACCGAATGGAGTAATATCACCGACCTGATCAAGATAAGCCCACTCTAATATTGCCATTCCGAACAGTATAGCGTGATTATCTGTATATTTAAAGCATATCCATAGACCTGCATACAAATTTCACATGCTTCCTCCGAGTCTCTCCCTCAACGAACAAGTTTTCGATCAATGATAAAGTCCCCGAGCCACAGAATAACTGGATATATGTAGGGTCGCAGGATCCCAACGTCTCAGCATCAGCTCTGATCGACAATCTAGAACCCTACCAACACCGCAGATCACCTAGCTCTAAAAAAGAGAATGCACCATGTCGTGCGCTTCCACGATATTAGGGCCGTTCAAAGATTTAGAGTAACTACTGGGGTCGATCAACTAAAACCTTGAAATCAGCCTATATACATATAACGTAAATGGTCCACATGGTGATGGTGGCAAGATTATCTCCTACAAATGAAGTTGAACTTGGCCATTATCCACATTTGGTTTCGTGGAAATAATATCCAATATGTAATATGATCTGCACCCGTCCTCGCCCGTAAGGCAAAATATTGAGCACACCCACCTAACACATAGCCCCACCTACCAGCCGTATATGGGTATTCTAAGGTTACATACAAAGGACGGACATACTTCGTACTCCGTACGGAGTACGGAATAGATAGCTCTGAGGACCCACTTCCCGTACGAAGGCCGGTTTTTGCCAAGGCGCTTGGCGAGGCATTAAGTTTCTTGGCGGCGCCTGGGCAGGTACACCCATGGAACTTATCTCTCAACCCTCTTACCCTCGTATCCATGGATAACCCAGTTTCTCCAATTCAAATCCAGTTTGTTCGGTAGTACTCTCCATCATTAACCGATCATTCCAGAATCTATGCCACGGAAATTCCACAGGGTCTGGCCGGCCATAAAGTTTGATTTTATCAGAATTGATCTCGACGTTAGACCGCCGATCACAACTCGCCGATCTCAAATGAAGCCAACGCTACCCAATATGACCAACTGGCCTCGACTAGGATATTCCCACGATCAAAAACCGGGTGAATATTCAAGCCTGCTATGACAAATCGAATATTGATCTGACTTACTCCGTACGTTGCCTCCCAATGCCTGTGCGCAGCATGCATAGCATGCATAGCATACATAACATGCATAAATTGTATACCCAGATAGCACGATGATAAGTGCCGTAATCATATTGGTCGAACACCGCATTCTATTCTTAAAGGTACGACTAGAGTAAGATAGGCAAATGGTTTTCTTTAGTCGAGTACATAATTAAATTCAAAGCTACAGGAAGTGACATTTGTTCTCGAACCTGTTGCATACCCAGGGCAGTGTGTCTAGACTATTCTAATTCACATACGGCTAAACCGATCCGATTAGGCCATAAATTCCGACAGATAATCCAACTTTCCTATCTGCACACCTTTCACCCTCAAGATTTCATACGCCGTCACCACATGAAAGTAGAAATTCGGGATCAAAAATTGCACCGAATAATCCTCTAGCGTGAAATCGAACACATTCACTCCAATCGGAGCCTTAAAAGCTTGTCCTTCCTTGATAGCAATCTTGGCTGGATCGACCTTTTCAAGCTCCGCGAGTGTCCTATCAAGGCGCTTGTAAAGATCTTCGTAGGTCTCGTCGGGCTCCTGCTGTGGCGGTGGTTCGACGAAAGCTGCACGAGCGAGGGCCTTGGAGACGACATTTGTTGCCGTCACTATTTGGAAGGAGAGAGGCTTCATATCCTCGACAAGGCGGGCATTGAGAAGTTCGTCGAGCGGGATGTTTTTTTCTTTCGCGTATTCTTCGGCCTTCTTTAAGAGCGTAGATAGGGTATTGAGACCCCTGGTCAGAGTGGCGATAGTGTAATTGTAGAATGGGGAGGCCATTTTCAGTCTTGCACTTCAACTTGTGTACTTCAGCTCTGATAAACGGTAGGAGCCAAGCAGATTCCAATGAATTTCTTGATTTTCAGCTAATACTATCAGAAGGAATTAAATGAGGCCTTATATACGATATCCTATCCTACCTCCCAAGAAAAAAAATCGTTGATTTATAATCACTCATTATCTTCTTTCCTTAACTGGATTTGGTAAAGATCGACATGATTACTAAGCTACATCCAGATCTTGGGGTAAGACACACCGAGCTCGGAGTTCCGGTTCAGTTGGTATATTCTACTTAGTTAGATTTTTAGGCGCAAGAACTGCATATGGTATTCGCTGGTCAAAGGGAAATTTCCTGGTGCTCTGTTTTCCTGCGCGCATTTATAATCAATTGGTCAGAGGCAACGACTAGTTAGTTATATACTATGTCTGACAAATTGGGCTCGCAATTCGCAACCCTGGGAAGTATAAGAAGCAAACGGTGCTCTGATCTCAGCTTATATTAGAATTCACCTCCTATCAGAATCAGTACTATCTCTCTCCTCCTCCTCTATACCTGCGAAAGTCAAAGTACGAGTCACACTGTATCAAAAGCCTGACCCCGAGGAATCGCCATCACAATGGAGACAACTACATCCGATCATGAGCTCATCAGAAATGCAATTGCAAACATTGCAGTGGCATTTGATACGAACACCTACGCAGAACTTCGAAATTCGTTTACAGAAGATTGCGTGGCGGACTATACGGGGTCACTTGGCCATATGAATGGAATCGATACTGTTATTGAAAAGCTGCAGGATACCATTGGGCACATTACCACGTTTCACGGATTGAGCACGCAAGTCATAAGGCTCACTGGCAAGGAAACGGCCGATGCAACGACCTATTGCTCCGCGAGTCATTACGTGGGCGACAAGTCGTTCTTTGCCGAAGCTAAGTATTTCGATAAGCTCGTCAAAGTGACTGAGGGAAGCACTACAAAGTGGTTGGTTAACTATCGCTTGACTACGATGATGGGCGTTCCACGAGGCGATGTCTCCATTTTCAACATGGACTTGGAAGGATGGGTTGACACGTTGAAGGCATGAGAAAACACTCCGACTTTCACGAGCGAAGCATGATTCTGTCCAAGTAAGAATCTCCTTTAAACCCCATAGCTCACCTTGATTAACATTAGGGATGATAGTGATAATATTAGTCTATCCCAACTGCTGTCAACTAAGTATTATAGGAGAAGAAGTGGACGAATGGAGCCATGTTGCACTGAGGTATTGCTTGACGGTGTGTTGCTTGCTCGGGTAGTTTGTTAGAATTTTCTTATCCTCTTTTGATTTGCTACTTTCTCTTCAATTTTGAAATTCATACATGCATGTTGATTGTATTAATGTTCAACCTAGATATATAATCTATCGCATATTTTCGTTTCCCTCTAAAAACATTCTCCAATTCTAGTGTATATATACTGCACTCATTAATTAATATATATTTGTTTTGCATAGGTCAGGTGAAAAAAAAAAATTGAAAAAAAAAAAATTGAAAAAAAAAGTCTTCTTGTACTAAGAAGACGATCAGGGGTGGTAGTACCCTAACAGATGGGTACAACATAGGTAGAAGGCACCCCTAGGATCCTAGCACCCCAGCGCACCAGTCCTCGAGTATAAAATGAGGCTAAATAATACCTAAGAACTAAAGTAATCTTTTGCCAAGAATAATAGCCAACAGGACCAAATTCCCTGGTGGCACAGCTCGTCGCCCGTAATCCACCTTGGGCAGGAAGGCCCCCACAATAGATAATCATTTGAGTTGCGACGGCAGATGTCATACATTTGAAAACTGCAGATCTGAACGTATTCAATTATATAAAGACCAAAGGAGCGGAATCTAAATGTAATGTTACAAATGATGATATCCTATCAGCTAAGCCCATCCCCCTAAAAGCCATATGAAAAAGCGACGCGAAATGCAATAACCCTAGCTCTATTATGTGCCGTTTAAACCAACTACTGGTAGAGGTAGAATTATCCACCGTTGATAGTCTTGCACTCAGTGTCAACATTACCAACAGGGCCCGTGTAAGGACCACAGTGGTACTTGTAACCAGACTCAATAAAGGTCACAACTGTTCCAGCAAGGCCCTCAGCGGCGACTTCATACTTCTTGACGCTGAAAGCATCTGTGGGGAAAAAGAACGAGTAGGCAGGGTTAGCACAAGGCTCAGGGCTCTTTGCACCGACAGGAAGTGTGCCGTTGGTCCTAATCGGTTGGATTAGTCTCTTGATATTGAGGTCCAGTAAAGGTTGTGAAGAACGGTAGCAACTCACCAAGCAGTGTGACAGGTAGTGGTCTCAAGAGCCTCACCTGTGGGGCTCCTGGAGGTAAGGTAGAATGATAAATCCCATGTGTCGCCCTCAATAGTATGCTTGAGGGAAAGGTCGCCGATGCTGTAAGGGTGAACTCGGGACTCAGTGGTAGGGGCGGCGAAGGCTGCACCAACAAGAGAGAGAGCAATTATAGCGAAAAAGTCTTCATCTTGATGGAAATTTAAGATATAATGTGTTAAAATGATGAATTTATGTTGTATTTTTTGGAATCAGTCCCCTTAGAATAAAGTGGATTGTGATGCTGTGATGATACTTCGTAAATGCTAAATGGAAGAAGGTCCCAGGTTCTTTATATACCTAGGTAGGTATCCGATGTTACTTATGTTGTTGTAGAGGGTATGCGTTACGAAGAATAAGTATGTCTCAGTCTGCTTCAGCTCACACTGTCGATCTTCAAAAATTGTACAGTGGATGGCCAGGAAGGGGGTGAGATTATTCTCCGTTAGATACTTGGCGCACCGCTCCCCACCGTTTCGGTTGCCAATGTCTTAGTGACTACTAAATATAGCTGAAATATACATCACTCGGAACTCCGGAGTAGCGCGCAATACGAACTCACAATGTTAGCTAATCATGAAGGTATCCATGGATATAATGGTGGTGGAGGTAAAATACTCGGAAGTCCGGGGTAGTGCTCCACAAGAGCCTATAATGTGTCCAGTCAGCCGCTTATGCCTAGAGCCCATAGAATACTTGGCACCCTAGGATCTCCGCTCTAGGACGCCTAATTCTATAAATGGAGTTGTTCACTCCATCTAAAGTAGTATACAATATTGAATACAACAATATGAATTACAGAGAAGTCCGTGTCGTGGGATACTCGGGAGGACATTTCGCATATAAATACGTAGAATGGGATACGGGTTCGCAAATAAGAGAATCAATCTTTCCATGAAATCCTCTATTCACATTTAGGAGTTAGCACTCAAGTGTGGTTTCACATATACAAGACACGAACCTGGTCAGGCCCTGCTTGCGGTGGCCTTATTTGGATAATTGAATAGTGACCACTATTGAGTCGCAGCGGCGCATTGAGGTGCCAGGACTGCCGACGCATTAGGAGTAATTGGTGGAGCTCTTTTGGTGAGCAATCTGATATTACATTCACGAGCCAACATTTGCCACGGTACTAATCTCATCTACCAGCTTACCTCCCCAAACATCCCAGATTAATCTAGCTAGGCAGATATCAAACAAAAATTAGAAGCATGGTTAGAGAAGTATTTCTTGGCTGTGCGAAGCAACCTCACCAGCTTCACGCTCTAGGACCCGACCACTCCGGCATCAATCGAAATCTCACAGATGTAAGTCAATGCGTACGTATTGAGATATTATGATATGATAATATATTAACACAAACATGCGATGCTAATACAAAAATGAAACACATAGACTATCATGTGGAGCGTTTTTGCAATCCGTGACGTAGTCTGATATCGCGAACGTAATCGTGGCCGGCTTCAATCAAATGGTATCAACCCGTCCCATCCCACCCTACGCAAGTAGATAGCCAACAATACACTTAATAAGCGAATCGTTGGCATACTATTCACTACATCAAATATTGCTGTTATCAAAGCGGTTTGTCCTCTCTGTTCCTAAGGTCCTATTATGCTAATCAACATCTATAGAGAATAGATGACGGCGATAAATACTGCAGTAAATACGGCAATCACTACACGGTCATTATTTCATGCTGTACTATCCTGATGGAGGCCACATGAAACCGGTTGATGCAAATCTACTTAATACGCTAGACTCCAAATAGGGTATTGTCCCCATCGCACTTTACCAGAACGTCGACGCATGCGATAACTCCTTCGATGAAGGTTGGAGCAACGGAGTGGAGCCTTAACCCGATGGGAATGGATACACCCCGTTTCATCAATATGATCATCATGAGAGAGTGGACCAGGGATTCGAAGAGGGACTGGAAGTTTCTTTCCTGGTGGCGAGACATTCTGACTGATCATGTCCCAAGGGGACCTCGTGATTTAGTTCACAACAATACACCATGTAGATACATAGATCGGATGCTGGCTTACTACCAGAGCCATTAGAGTCATTACAGAGTCATAGAAGCATGCCTTGCTGTTGGTTTCAATTTTCATATGCTTTCCCACGAGATAAAACCTATCATAATTAAAAATCTTTCCATGTTTCAGCTCAACGAGGTGATAATCATCACGGCCAAAGGCTTATGCGGCATATAAATGCGCTAGGAACTCCGAGGGTGGGGAGCTCGGAAATATGGATGAATTCCCAGGTGGCAAAGAAGGCTCGCTAATAATATGCAGGTATCCAATTCTCCATAATTTAACCCACTCAAGTCCGCAGACAAACATTAGTATTCTTAACGCTCGATTATTCTTTAATGAATTACGATTAATATAAATGTGTAGTTCACATTCAGATACCATCACTCTTTAGGAATGTAGTAAAAGCTTGTTATATCAGATAAGATCTCATCTACAGTGGGACCTCCGAACAGTTGGGCTGAACCTTGATGCGGGTACGAAGTTCAGCCCAACATTTCGGAGGTCCCACTATCCATTGTATTGTACAGACAGAGAAACACTAGCGACGTGCTTGGCGATCCCAAATTTGAGACTACCGCCGTGGGTCTTCTTACCTTCCATAACGGTCTAGTGTGTTTAAATAGTGCCAATATGCCAAGAACGGCATGTCCGAGTTCCGGCACTTATTTTAAATCTCCACTAGTTAATGAACTAGTTTGTGCGGTTAGTATTTCTTATTGAACCTTTCAAGGTCACAAATAAAGCCGTAAGCACGTCGCCTATTTGCTAGAACACAAGCTTAGAAATTGAAAAATTCATCGGCACATTTTGAGCTTCTTTCCCGCATTTCCCGCATTTTGTGCCTTTTTCTGGTCTCCTATTTACATCGATCCAGCTACTTAGATCATGTCCTCTTCAAACACAGAGGACGTAATCGCGGCCAGCTACTCTTGTCCCTAGTTATACAAATTCTTCACGGTTTATATTTTGTACCGCCTTCGTATATTATACTTCGTATATCGTACTTCGTAATCGGACCTCGTAATCGCACCTCGGACTTCGTATATTGCACTTCGTATATTATGCACCGTACTACGTAAGTAAACATGATTCCAATTATTATATTCCCATTCTGGGTGGTGTGTCTGAACATAACTAATTACTGTTTTTGTAGCTTTAACACCGAACAGTAAAAGCTCGGGAAAAAAAGAAAGATCGGACTGTTATCTTACATGAAACAAAAATCCATGAGGACCTTGGGATTGTAATGACCGAAAGAGTATGTCACTGGCACTCAGACCAAGTGAAATTCATCTCGATCATTCACGAAATTCCGCGGTATGCCGAACTTCCCTCAAAATAATGTCGGAAGCTGAGCAGATCGGGATCTGAACATCCCGCGTAAGATGCCGACGAGCTGTACGAGGTGAAGGTGCTGGAGAGGGACGGGCTGGGTAATCCACCTGGGGTTAGGATTTGGATTTGGACAAGTGGATCAGTCAAATCTATTTATTTGTCACTAATTAGTTTAACAATTTCCGAAGGATTCCGACGCACTCAGGCATCAAGGCAGTAAGGCAGTAAGGCAGTAAGGCTTCGTGGGTTTTCCAGCATAATACTATATTTAGACCTCTCTGTATTTGGCGATGATTTCAAAATTAAAATTCATTTCAATTTGATCGGTGGCCGGTTGCTCGAACTCATTTGTATATTCCTTATTGTAATTAAGAGTAATCAATGTCAAGAGAATCATAGCCCTGAAACATGATCCCTCTCGTACCTTAAAATAGACAACTTCTCTTTCTTGCAATCAATTAACTTAACATATGAACCTAGCTTTGTCTCCTGGAAACACAAATAAGACCATCGGATACCGGTCGTTTTGGAACCATAATATGTTAGCGGGGAAATAGCATTGAGAAGAGTGTGAAAATATATACCTGGTGACGCAGGGTAAACCGACAGAGCTAATTGGTTGTATTGTCTAACATCCGAAAGTTTTCGTGTTCTCCCTCGTCATCATCATTTTAATCTTTATTATCTTCCTTACCAGGGCTGGTGGCGGCGGACACATTGCCCTCACTAATTAACCATTGGCATAGCCGCTCAGTGCTATAGTATGGCAAAAGAGGCACGACACCGTAGCAGGCATGAGAGAGCAACAGGAACGATGCGGATATGTGCAAGTCAGAATATAAACATAGCAACGGTGTCAAGTGGACATGGGTCATACACTGGTCTATCAGTGCGGGGCAGGAGAGGAACCGGCGGAAAGTGCGCTTGATGCCATTCCCCTCACAAGCTCCTCTTTGCGCTGTGGCTCGGATCCTGGCATAATCGTCGTAACCTGGCTTGAAACACAGGTAAATATTCATTGGTCTCTTGTTCGGCCGAGGGGTCGAGGGGGCCGAATTAACTGTTGACACCAACAGTAAAATCTGAGGGGCAATCACTTTCCAATTGCTTTGTTATTTATTCGGAAGCGAATTGGCTGGCCAATGCCACTGCTAGCGACGTAGGATAGGGGCCACAGATGCTTCTCTTAAATATGGCCCTTCCTGTTGATCAAGCCCGAGAAGGAGCCTGTGCCCCCGCGCGTATTGATCACTGAAGGACATAACAATCGCAATGACAGAATTGAAGAATGTTGCATTGGTCTTTGGGACCAGCGGTATCTCTGGTTGGGCTGTCGCCAAATGTGCTCTCTTTTACCCCACGCCCACCACCTTTGATAGAGTGATCGGCCTGACGAATAGGCCGCTGCCTCTGGAGAGAAGTGGCTTACCGCATGACCCTCGACTGGAACTATATTATGGTGTGATTTGCGGGAGAATCTTGATGAGGTACTCTCCTAGTTGCAAGAGAAGGTTCCCAACCTAGAAGATGTGACTCACGTGTATTATCTTGGTACGCAATGGAATTCCATGCAAACGGTCATGATCTAACTATATAAGCCTACTCCAATGCAACTGCATACTCCATGAATGTGATGGCTATCCGGGATATCAATGAGAGAATGACCTATAATGTGGTGCACGCTGTGGACCGGCTGTGCAAGAATATGAAATTTTTCGTGCTTCAATCTGGAACAAACGTATGTGCTGAGATAGTACCAGCCGATGGCCCTGGCAAATTGGACGCAGAATTATGGAGTTCCTGTGTTTCGCTTCCAAGAACACATCGAGATCAATCCTCCCTTGCGCGAGGACAATCCGCGCATTGCTTCGCCCTAGGGAGACGAGATATTCTACTATGTGCAGGTTGACCTGATCAAGGAAGCCAATAAAGGAAAATCTTGGAAATGGTGCGAGGTTCCACCGGATCAAATCGTCGGTGCGTATCTCTATTTCTTGGGTTTTAATATGCTGACATCACCGCCCATGCCACGTTCCCATTCCCACAAGCATGACATGCGTCGAGCCTCTCGCACTCTACTTGATGCTATATCGCTATTTGAACGGCCCCGGTGCCACCGTCGTCTTCCCAGCCCCATACGCAAACTACATCCACACATATACGTCATCCTCGCAAGATATTATCGCTCGTTCGGAGCTCTACCTGTCCGTCAAGAAGCCGGACTAGGCGCATGGAGAAGCATTCAACACGGCCGACAACGCCACCCCCGAATCCTGGGCTGTCATATGGCCCAAGATGTGCGAATACTTTGGTCTGAATGCGGAAGGTGCAAGTCCCGAGGACAAGGGCTGGAAGTACATCGACAAGTGGTGGTTCGCACACCAGAACGATTATAAGAAGATGTGCGAAGAGTATGGTCTGTGCCCTCGCGAGGTTTTTGAGGCGACTTGGATTTTCCTTTCAGCAGGCTTCGGCTTTCTGGGTCGCAATTGCGAGCTGAGCTTGGATAAGATCCGGAGTATTGGTTTTACGGAGGAGTACCCGATTGCGTATGGGTATGTCCAGGTGTTTGATCACCTGGCTCAGGAGAACATTATTCCCAGCAAGGAGGCTTGGACTAAATGTATTACGCAAAATAGGTTAGAATATACACGGCCATAGTTCATAAAATGTGTCTAGGCATGATACCACGAACGTCATATGACCACAGCACAGAACACCTCCTTCTAGCCCATTGGATATCCTATTAACCACAACGAACTCGTCCGATGGAGAAAGCCAGTACATCACAGAGAAGATCATAGGGGAGGGGAGGAATGGAGGAGACTTAGAAGCCCTGAATATCCCAGATTGTGTCTGCGATAAATTTCAGTTCTTGCTGTGAGATTTCAATATCTCCTTCGGCGGGTATAGATGGCGGGCGGAGGAATAAATCTTCGAATGGGATAATAAGAGGGGCGTTTCTGACAGTTGTGAGGTTTGACACCTTATTCACCGGGATCATCTGGACACGGTGGGGTCTTCCATTCTGGAGTCTCCAGTTCTCAACACGGATTGCTGGTTGGCGTTTGTCTACTCTCAGAGTCAGACAAATCCTGGCATTTCCCTCGGCTGGATCCAGCCAGAATCGAACATCAGAATTCAATTTTGAATCTGATTCAGACCAAGCGACCTCTAAAACAACCGAGGGCCTCCTTTCACAACCACGCGGTGGCCTTTTAGAGCCCCAGCCTTGGTCAGGTTGCTTTCCTCTTGTTCCCCCTTGGGTAGTTGTGTTAGGGTATTTGTCTAGGTGGCGAAATAGCCTCATTGGTAGGAGAGCTGCTGTGATTGCGTCGTCCACGGCAGTGATTGCGGTCGAATGTTCGCGAGATGGCATCTTGATCAGGATAAGTTCCTCATTGAGATCAAAAGAGGAACAGTTCTTGGCAAGGGTAGTTGATTCGTTGTCTGGATTCAACAGGGTTTCGATCATTTCACGACTCGTATGAAACAGGATGAAGTCGTTTTTCTCATGACCTGAGGATTCGCGGGTATTAAGTTTTAGATTGAAGATTCTGAGGAAGGAACACTCTCCTTCATATGGATATCTTTCGATTGAATTTGGTAACTCTTTAAGGAAGCTACCCCCAAGATCGAGGTAGACACTTTGTGTTTCTGGTTCTGCCATTTCGGTTTTTGGTATAAGTATAAGGAATCCAGGAATTTAGGATGCTAGGTATAATGGTATCATGAGAGAGAGATAGAGATAGACATAGAATATATATGTATTGTTGTGGAACGCTAGTGTTCCGAAGTATATATGTACATATATGTTCTCATTATGACAATTAACAAGTTGTGGCAAATACAGCGAATTACGCCGTCCTATAAGATTCAAGGTTCAAGCCAAACTTTAGGGGTTTTGATGCCTGAATTTACTCTAGAACAGTAGAAAGATTGAAATATCTAAATTCCTATTACATATGCCTTGGTGATGAAAGTACCCTGCCCAGGTTATCCTGCTGGCATTCTTGCGTAGACCACATTGTATTTCAACCCTCTTGGTGGGCTTTATAAATTCCATTTGGGCTGCATGTGATGGTTGGCACTTCCACTCCTTGAGGACCACCTCACACTTTTTACTGGTGCATGATTAGGCGCACGGACTACGATTTCTTGCTTTAACAAGAAAGAAGCGACTGTATAGACATTACTGTGCTAGTTAGGCCCCAACGGGTTAATATAGCTTTGACTTATTGACTAACTTTTAGATTTGTAAGGCTGGCTACCAGCACTGTTCTAACCAAACATTTCCGCTACCTCGTTTCCCCACTTTCTTCCTTTCGCCGCCGTCGGACTTGCTACCCAGGTCTAGTATCCGATACGAAAAACACATGGTGGGTGTGTTGTGCGGAGAATCAAACAACTAGCTTCGAATCAGTTACAAGATCAGACGCCATCGTAACATGTGTCGCTCAAAGACGATTCACGTTCACTTGAATCGTTGTGGCGTGGTGACAGGACAAATCCCCACACCCCTTCACAAGTGCGGCTATGCCCCTACCTTTGTTCTATCACCTAACCTATGTGAGGCATTTAAACCGGAATCCGACTCTTCTGTTGCTGTCTTCTCCTGTTCCTATCCTATTTGGGTATTTCTGCCAAAATCAAATAGTCGCACATAATTCACAATGAGTGGCGTGGAGCTTGGTCTTGCTACCCTTGGTACTCTTGATCTTTGCTTTAGGTATGTCAAGGGTACAGCAGACTAGTCTTCACTAAACATTCGTAATTTCACATACCTAAATATCGTTGTGAGAAAGTAGAAAGCTTCATATGATGGGGAGAATGAGATCAGGGAACGGAAACTTGCTATTGAAGCTACCAAGGGAAAGATCTCGCAGCACCTTACTATTAATCCGAGTCATAATTATTCTAGTCTTATGAAAGGGAAAGGTTAACAGGCTGGAGTTTCCGGGAAAACACCCAAAATGGAAATTGAGTCATTGGGTTAATATAACTAAGGGGAACCTTTCCGATGTCGACATATTTAGTCAAGAGGGCCTCGTATATCTCCGATATGTGTGTATACATTAGGTGTTTTCGAATAAGGCTTAACGTGGGATCTTCGCGTACATAACGCGATCTGATTTTCTGTAACTTGAAGTAGGTTGTATCCAATTGATTCATTTAATGATTGTACCAGAGGTTAATTTTCAGCTCTGGTTTATGCCTACAAAAAGACCGCGCATGGTACACGATGGACTGCTGCACAAGGGTTATGAATTGAATAAAGCTATCCTGACGATTCATAACGTAGTATATGATACAGGGAATATGTTCTAGAGAGTTGCCGTTCAAGACCTCTTCTTGGAAGGAGAAGCATTTTCGGTGGCTAAATATGAATCTTCGAATGCGGATAACTGGTTAAAGTGGCTGACTGAAGTAGTTAAGTGGGGGTGAGCAACCGCCAACCACAAGGGACAAAACATTGACCACCAAAGAAAAGGGTCTTAAGGGTCTCCTTTATTAGGTACACGATGTCACTCTTCCTGATAAGCAGCCTCCTTCAGAGATCATCCTGTGGAGCTCTTGCCGTTGAAGGCCAGCTCTTTTCTTTCCTCCTCTTAAAGGTCGAAGCACTGTGGGTGGTCAAATGGGGATGATTGACTAAAGTGGTTGAATGTTTTATGTCGATGGTTGACTGAAGGGGGTAATCGAAGTGGACGATCGATGATTGACGAGCCTAATGATTACCACGAGTGCAAAGCATTCCACGGTGAGACTGGATGTGGTTGGTCAAAGTTGTCGATCGACGTGATTGTGACCAGTCTGCCGATTGTCCTGAAGCCGAAGCCCGCCACGGTCAGACTGGTTGTGGTTGTTCGAAGTGTTGGGGCATTCGAAGTGGATGGGTGATCGAGGTGGATGGTTGATTAAAGTGCATTGAAGACCATTGAAATGTTGATTTGATGGTCGATTGGATAGTTGGTTGGTGTGTTGGTTAGATCGGATCGTTGGTTGGATTGGATCGTTGAACTGTTGACTTGATTGGATAGTTGGTTGGATGGTGCATTGAAGTGTTGATTGAACTGCTGATTGCAGTGGATACTCGAAGTGTTTTCTTCTTTTGTCTTTTGTCTTTTCCTTTGTCTTTTCCTTTGTCTTTTCCTTTGTTTATTTCTTTTGCTTTCACCCTTTCGCTCACTTAGAGTGTAACAGCTTGCCACGGCAAGACTGGATGTGGTTGAGCACACTTGTCTGGTGTAGTCAGCCCCATATCCTGTTGATAACGTCATATAACATGATGAGACAAGATGATAGCAGGCATACAATAGAGAATGGGTGACCAGCTTGGCAAGAAGTTACGAGCCCATCAAGTGCAAGATGGATGACGGAAGGAACATGCGGTTGAGATGCCTGAACAATTAATGTAATTAGGTGGAAGGAACAAAAAACCGTAAAGAAGAGTAAGCAAAACCTACAAGTCACATGATGGATGATGAGCATGGCAGGTGGCACCTAGGCAGGCATGTTGAAAGGAGATGTTGTTGTGTGGTGAAGTTACCTGAAGGATGAATATAAGTAAGGAGCAGGCAAGTCGGAACTAGATGGCATAACTGACCAGACATGTGATGCATGTGGACGGGATGAAGGCCAATGTGTCAAGGGCATGGTGATCACAACCTCCATCTTATCAGGTGTCGATGTGGAAAGATAGAGAAAGGGATGAAGCTTAAGCTGATGATGGAAGACATCAATCGAGGATGGAAGACCTGATGGAAGGTATGGGGTGGATAAAATATTTGATGAAATGTTTTTGTGGGTGGTACCCATGGATTGGATGTGGGGAGATGAAAAGAGAAGAAAGGAAAATGGGACAAGGAGGGGGGAGGGGGGGTATTTATACCCTGGGTAGGTAGGCGACGCGGGCAGTTGGAAGCAGTTACATGGGTAGTCGACGAGGGTGTCCTTCAGGTGACCCCTCATTATGTCACTTCCCCCCTTCAACTATCAGCTCTCCAAGTCCACCCCGCCTCCAATGTTCTTATGATCATCAAGGCAATAGCGTAGTCTTGGATAGGTAGTCTCTAAGATCGTAAAGAGAAGGTGAGACGATGTATACATTCTATAGGCTTACGCCACTAGACAACATCATTATGAATCTCACGTATCGACCTATATGCTTCAATCATATTCAAGTTCTTACACTGTCAAGCTACGTTTTATAGAAACGCACCATGTTCTCGATTGAAAAAATAGGTCATTGAGATGCGGTAACCTCGGAAGATTTATAGATCATTAAGGTTACACGCTAACTATGTTTGGTATGGCGTGCATACCACGGTAGGTTCGTGCACGGTCCTTGTGTTATGTATGTAGTTGGCATTTGTTGTCCAGCTTGGTACAAAGTTCTGGCCTTGTTGCGAGCACTAGAGTCCGAAGGATGCCCCCATAGGAGAAGGCGCATGGTGGTGGACTACGAGCTTGTAAGGGTATTTGTCTCTGTGGTGGATGCAATGTTGAACCACAGGTAGGTGGTTGAGAGGGCCTAGAGAGAATTTGTGGGTTGGTCGATGGAGGATATTATCCGGTTTCATGCGGTTGTATTTGCGGCAGAGGCGGGGTGGGAGGAGAAGACTGTCAAATGGGAGCACTGGTGGAAAACGAAGCTGGGGGAGGCTGGAATTAGGCAAAAATTTGTAGCCAGAGAATTGGCTGGTATTGGTGCCAATGGGATGTTGCATAGAGTCTGAGAAATTGGCTGAAAGACAAAAACATTTATTAGCAGCTAAACTGCATTGACCTTCAGTCGAGTCGACCTCTATCCCCTTGCCTGGCAGACGCTAACTTCTTAGTGGTAATTTTGACTAGAAAATCTTATTGGCCTAATAGCCCCCACCGCCTTCTTACACGTTTTGAGCCACAGGGTTTCCGCACATATTAGTACTGAGTGAACCAATTGAACAAGATGATTGAAGAACTAACTACGAGATCGCTGTTGAAGGCGTCTCACGGTCTCATATCCCTCAGGGACTAACTAGTATGGCGCGTTACGATGCGGGCATTCCGAGCTCACCCAGTTTACCATACAAAGGCATCCTGTGGCAGGCGCCCAGGTGTGGATAGTCGCTGAATCAGCCAGCCTTTGGTGGTTAAATACCACCTCTCAGCTTGATACAGTAGAACAATCATCGAGTACCCGGTTACTATACCGGAGAAACATGAGACCGAAAGTGTCCACGGGTTCACGGGTGTTTATTTTGCTTAGTAATTTGTCCGCATCAGTTGCCGGGCAGTTGTTATTTTAGAGAATCTTACCACCGTGATTTTTCCAAATACACTCGCCATACCTGCATTTCTGTCACTTTGTTCTTTATCTTAGTCCTCTATCAACATATGTCATACCTAACACCCTATGGACCAGCCATTATCGTTTCAGCCATCCGGTGACCTACATCTCTCGGGCTACGAGGATAAACAGCATGGTACCTTGCTATTCAGCCAAAACCGACGTTTCGTGCCGCACTCACCGACCTCTAATATTACCTCACTGCTGCAAACCTCATCTTCTCCCCAGACTGAATCATCTATTTCCCAAGGAACTCAGATGCTGCAGGGGCAATTGCCTGTATCTGGCGACGTGTTCCTCGAGAATCGTTCTAGCCAAAATCGAAAGAAACAAAAAACAACAACTCCCTCTCCATCCAAAACACAGAATCCACAGAAACGTCAGCGTTATAAGGCAAAGCCGGCCCTAGTCAAAAAACGCGGAGAACTACGAGATGCTGAAAGCCCATCAAGTGGAGTTCCGGAAGATGTTCGTTAGATATTGCTCAGCCTCTATCAACCTTTGATGATGTGCATTAACCTAATCACCAACTCTTGCAACAGCGCCGTCGTATACAGGTTCGCCTAGCGCAAAGGGCGTTTCGCTCTCGCCAGCGGGATGCCATGGCCGGCCTCAATAACCGCATTTCCCAGCTAGAGACCATCCTGGATCAAATGAGCCATACTGTTCTGTCATTTAGCGGTCAGCTCGTTCAATCTGGGGTACTGGCGCCGTACTCTGACTTGACCACCCACCTACATGATACGATAAAGACCTTTCATGCTTTGGCATCCGAAGCAAACCCCGACCCCGAGACACAGGTGTCTAATGCCCCCTCGCATAGTGAAGACTTGCCTCAATCTTCATCTCCCAGGCTCATAACGACCCCACCATCCAACATACCTCCTTCTTTGTCCCTTGATCGCAGCGGATCTGATCATTTCACCAGTGACAGCTTCCCACATACCCTCGAATCACCAGGGATTTCAGTTATAGAATTACCTGGTTTTATTGAAAGACTGAATTTGGCATGTCTCTACCAGGGGAAGTTGGCTTTATGCGATCACTCTATCGGTTTACATCATCTTCAAAAACCATTTGGGTTCCTTTTCAGTATGATGAATCGGGAACGCGCCACGGCTTACTTCAAAGCGAAATTAGATGCCCAAGTGAACCAGAGCCCATTAAATGGGTGGGCGGAAGTCCCCTTCTTCGCCTTAGGTAGTGCAGGAACCCACTATCCCCAGCTCTCATTGCACAACCAGGGGATAAGCCACTGTTTCCGCGGTTATCATGAATGGGATATAGTTAGGGATCCCTTATCGCTTGTCTCGCCAGATATTCAAGAGCAGCTAAAAGGGGATTGGTTTGACTTGCAAGACCTGGAGGGATTCCTCCGGGAGAAAGACGTGATTCTGATTTTGCGTTCTGATGAGCCAAATCAGGGCTCACCGACGAAGACCACTGTCAACATCGCACGACTGATACCAGGTAATATGTACTTTAATTTAGGGTCCGAGGAGCTTTCTAACTTTGATAGCATTAATAACTAGGGGAATCTGCTTAGGTCGCACGCCTGGGTTTCAACGTGATGATGTGGAGAAGGCCTTGCAGCATGCAAAAATATCATGAAGTTTTAGCAAATAATACATGTATACGTGGTAGGTGGGATATAATGGATACCTGCATGGGGCTTGATAGAATTCATCATGCCATCCGTGAATTCATCGAAGATCTGGCGCATGAAGTCAGCAGCCCTTTGGCCAACTGGTGAATCTAGTTCGCATCATTGGTCTGAATTCTCGATTAGCATTAGCAACGCCAAATCAGCTAATCTGCAACTGTTGAGTAGCTCGGAAGACTTCCAATCTCTACGCCTGCACCTAGAACCTGACTTCGAAGAAGCTTAGGAAGCCACATAGGTCGGACTTTGTTCAGGGTAATCTGTGCATCCTCTTCCGCTATGTCCTCGTCTAGAAACAATTTTGGAAGTCCGGGGTTTATGACTGCTAGACGTGCCATACTATGTCACATGCGTTCTCCTTTATAGCTGCCTCTGCATCAGCGCGGCTGCAGAACCCGCCGATTAGCATGAGTACTAGACTTCGATACCGCTTACGAGTCTCTTTAGCAAGAGCGAGGAAGGCTCCGCGAGCTGCGGCCCGTGCGCGTTTCTTTTGAGATACTGTGGGTTTGTCGCCATCAACCATCTAGTGACATAGTATTAGTAACTATAAGACACGTAATATCAGTACATTGGCTTAATATACTGTTAGATTTTCATAGGTTCCACGACTAATCTCGAGGAAGTCAATCATTGACAAACATTCCAATTTAAGCCAATATATCCTCAAAGCTTGCGGCGCTATGGTTAACCGAGTTAAGTTTTAGACCGATACAGAAGTTAGCTAGCACGACCCCTCGGCACCCTCAAGATATCGGGAACAATTTTGGCGCATTTTTCTGTAGAGCTTCCGTATGCATCGGTAAGAAGATTAGACTGTCTCTAGGATTTAGCGATCAGTCGCAGAATACCCTATTGGACCCAACGTATTTTGGGACTCAGGAATTGATCTACACCAGGAACCTGATTAACATATCTTTGTTGAGTATAATGCGTGTCGGATTAACCTAGGAGGTATCCATAAGCTGCACGCAGCTCAACACCGGAAAATCACCTGTCATCAAACGAGCTGAATCCACAAAAGACGAATAACAGTATCTTTATCATTCTGCGTCATCTCTCGGGGGTTGGAAAATATGAGAGAAGTAATGAGAGAATCCAGAAAGTTATCACCAAGTGATAGTGAGACCGTAGTGGGACCGTACTAGGTGCTATCGTTGAGAAAATGAGACCTCTACGCCCGGCTCCACGTAGGGATTGCCTTCCAGGATAAGAGATCTGAACAATGGTGGGCGTACCATGCTTCTGGAATGCTTCGGCGTATTCTTTCCACGATTTAAGATTGTTGTCATTCGGGCCAGTATATTGGGTCTGGACGGCAGCATCCGAGACGCTTCCGAGGTGGTTGATATCGATTTGGACGTTTCCTGTAAATATCATCACTCCACGCTTTATGGCCTGATTGAGGTCTTCATGGGATTGTTATCCGAATTGGCCAGGTTCTCGGCCATGGCAGGCTGTATAATTATGCAGCTGTAAGATTTCGTTTTTCGCTACATACCTTTGACAACCGGTTAGGAAAAACCAACCCGCAAGGGAGCTTGACTACATCATTCAATGAATGGGGACGGCATTTTGAACGAAATATGTATGGAGTACCTCTGAATCAAACAGACTACCTCATACCAGGTTATATACTTATGCCGTTCCAAAAAAAAAGATCAAGAAGACCGGTAGATAAATTCTTAACGCCTTTGATTACATTACTAACTAGAGGATTAATTCATATTATGCACCCTTTGTGGGTTAATGCTCATGTGATTCGAGGACAGATGTATCCATCCATGGATAGATTAGTGAAATAAGTGATCGACTCCAGATCTGATTTACCAAGGCGAACGGCTTTGTATGATCCTCCGGACGGAACGTTTTACCGGCATGATATAGTAATCTTCGAAAGCTTCCTACCAAGGTTCAACTGCAAAGAGCCTCGGTTCTACAATACAACATGAGTTAGCTACCTCGGCGGGCACCGTCGATGTATTTGACTAATCAACCCGTTCCGGTGGCAATGAAAATTCCGTCCCGATCTGGCGCTGTAATGGAACGCCGACCGCGGATTTCACTATTATCATCGTGCCCGATTCTCCGTCCCTATGAACGGGGCCAATAATTAATAATATATTCACCCTTATTCTATAAAAGCCCATCATTCCCCAGTTGAACGCATTATCCCTATCTAACCGCCATTACATCATGTCTGCTCCCTTAATTTTCATAACCGGCGCTACAGGTTTTATTGGTAGCGCCACGGCTGTCGAAGCTCTCAATGCCGGATATCGACTTCGAATTGGCATCCGCAAGAAATCAGACAAGCTCGAATCGATACTATCAGACTATGGCAAACAACTGGAATTCGTCACCATCCCAGATCTCACCGAGGAGGCTGCTTTTAGAGGCAAGCTTGACGGGGTGGACTATATCCTCCATTTAGCATCACCTCTTGCTCACGGCACAGATAAGGAAGCTTTCTTTGGCCCGGCAGTCAAAGGAACCTTGGCTGTTCTCAAAGAGGCAGCTAAGGTGCCAAGCATAAAGAAGGTTGTAGTGACGTCATCTATCGCTTCCTTGATTCCTCTTGTTGGGCTGCCCAGTGGCGGTGTCGTCAAAGGTAGATTTAATACACATAGTGGCAAAATGCTACTGTTGTCAATTTCGGCAATATGCTAACATCGGCCTCAGAGGATAATGACTGGGATCTCACTGTGGACCCAACAGCAGATTTTGTCGACCCTGACAATCTTGCCGCAGCACCGATGACTTTGTACCGAGCGTCCAAATTACTTGCAAACAACGCGACATGGGACTTCTGGAAGAAAGAAAAGCCGCAGTACTCGCTGGTGACCCTTCACCCGTCGTTTGTCTTCGGGCACAATCTCGTACAAAGCTCCGCCGAGGAAGTCCAAGCAGGGTCTAATGGCATTCTCTGGGGTAGCGTGATGGGAGGTGTTCCAATTGCAGGCATCACGGGTGTGCACATCAAAGATGTTGCTCAAGCCCATATCAAGGCGTTAGACCCGAAGATCAAAGACGGCTCGAAATATCTGATCTCTGGGCCGCCAACGACGTGGAAAGAAATTGCTCATATTGTGCACTCGGCCTACCCCAATGTTGGTGCGAAGATTACGGAGGAGGTTGAAGGAGCTTCCCTGCCCACCGATACCACCAAGGCCGAAAATGAACTTGAAATCCACTGGCAACCTTGGGAGGAGACCGTGCGGAGCGTGATGGATCAGCAACTGGGCTTCCTTCAAAATTGAGTCGTACAGATTGTTAGTGTTTTTTTTTTTTGAGATAGATATTTACTTCGAGTTTTGAGCATAAATCAGGCGGTCCAAAATCGGGTGAAGCTAGTCCCAACAGATGTATATCTATAAAACCAGGCATCCCGAACTTTAGCCGATATGCAACTTCCTAGTCGGGTGTAGAATGCGAGAGAACCTATGTCAAGGCCCACCTACAGTAGTTTCTATTTTGTTTAGCTCTCAGAGTATCTCGCAAGGTCATGTTAGTGGTTAAGCTGCGGATCGAAGCTCCTTACCGTCGGTCAAATGCAGAAATTCCACTTAAATTGTGGTTTGCTACCCAGAGCACGACATCATTGCGCCACGGCTTTCTCCACAAAATTTCGAATACGAGGCATATTAGCGGTTTTAGTAATCTACCGATGGATCTTCCAATGCGGCAGCGCTTCGATGATCTTTGCGCCGCAATCAGTTGAGGATTGTCCGTATGGGCGGACAATTCATAATAGGCCGACCTCACAAGTGGTAAGGATATCACGACATCACCAAAATGCACGATGATGTAAAGCAACCGTCTGGTCTGCTGGTCCATTCCTTCTGAAGTATAAGAAAAAAAGTTGGACTATCAAGAAGATTGTATAATTTCCTTGGGTCTGATGAATTATACGGCGTGGCGGTAATTCAGAAGACCGAAAGCTGGCCAACGTTCCTATGCCTATAGTATTTGAACCACGCACAGTAAAGCTCTTTCTTATAGTTGCACGATGTCATATCGGACTCGAATTTGATTCAAATTATTTCGCATAATACAACGCTATACTAAGCTGAAAAATTCACTACTAACTTGCCCCCGGCTACAGCGCCTGCTCGTAGTTTGGTCAATCCATCTAGAATACCCTCAAACCCATCCTTTTCCTTAACAGTGGGAATCGGTTTTAAGATGTTTGTGATTGTTGGAAGGACATTGTAAAAGCGGACAAGAGCTTCGCGGTCGGCAGGTTTGGCCTCGAACTTCGGGCCAATTGGGGGTAACCACTGAAATGGGTGACCAAACACCGTATACGCCATCACCGTCTCGTACGACACTCCCGGTATGCTTGACTTGCCGTTAGGCAATAGCGTTACCACCGTACCGCCAGTCTTCTTGAGTACTTCTGCACACACGGAAGTAGATTTTCCTTCGGAGAAACAATCGACGGCCTTCGAGATCTTAGGAAACTCCTTGACGACTTCTGCTGCAACGGTTGCCGACCTGTAGTCAAATACTGCAGTGGCGCCGTACGCCTTGACAAGGTCGAATGAACGCGGCGAGGCCGTCGCAACAACTTTGTACCCAGCTGCCTTTGCAATCTGGATGTGAAATAGCCCAGCGCTAGTGGCGCCAGCATAGATGAAGATCACCTCATCTTTAGGGGTTGCCTGATCATTTTGGACGAAGGGGAGGCCATGACGGACATTGAGGGTCAACATGGCAGTCACAGCTGAGACGCCGTACGTGGTGGCGTCCGTGTCGCTGATTTCATCAGGAACCTTCCAAGCCAAATCCGCGTCGACTTTCAAGTACTCGGCGAAAGCGCCCTTGTCGGGAAAAAGGCCACCGTGGACGGCGCCCGCCACGCGATCGCCAGGTGTCCACCTAGAACTGACGGCGCTGCCGACCTGTTGGACCACGCCGGCATAGTCGCAGCCGATGATGGAGTGAGGAGGAGAAATGACATCTAGGTGCTTGAAATCTGTTGGATTCAATGCGACCGCCTTGACTTTGACCAAAATCTCGTTTGGTGAAATTGTAGGAATGGGAACATCGTCCTTGACCTTTCCCCCCTGGCCACCGACTGATTTGCCACTGGCATGGTTGAACAGTCTGGTGGCAATTCTGCGGTTGGAAATAAGAGCCTTCATGATATGGATGCACAACAAATGACTAAAAGGATACGATGTAGAGTACGGAGTTGCAGGTCCTAGTATTTATGGAAATGGTCAACTACCGCCACATGCCTTTGTAGACAGGGCAGATCAGCAAAATTTAAGAATGCGCCACTGCAATTTGCGGGGATGGAGCAATTATCTTGCCGACGGCGTAGTAAAGTTAAAGTTAGTGTAGTCCTGACGGAATGGTTATGTAACTCACCCGAATATCCATGGATGAATCCATGGATCCATAACGTGGGAGGAATCGAGGCACATCAATATAGGTCGCTGAGAAATGTGTTTAATAATCAACTCATCTTATTCCTATATCCTATATTATACCTTAGGTTACCCCTGCTTCATACTACTTCGGTATATATAGGCGGTGTTCTGCGCGGAATATCCTTTATAATTAGCCTTATTTCTCCCAATATGTCGGACTCAAAGCAAAGGTCAATCCTTATCACCGGGTGCGTCGAGACTTATCCTCTTCCTTTATATTCCCTGACCTAACCGCTCACCCACCAGATGTTCCCAAGGGGGTGCCGGTAACGCCCTAGCCTTGCAGTTTGCTTCTAAGGGCTTCCGCGTCTTTGCGACCGCCAGGTCGCTGAAGACTTTGGCCAACCTTCACGGAAAGAATATCGAAACGTTGACTCTCGATGTCACGGACGCGAGTAGTATCAAGGCTCTAGCGGCAGAAATTTCGAGTCGTACAGGAGGTTCCTTGGACATACTCTTTAATAATGCGGGCACTCGTGAGTTATCTCCAGAATAGTCGATTGCAGGTTTTCGCACGGAATTAACGCTACTCGCACCCTAGTTTACGAAGCACCCGCCATCGAGGCAGATCCCGCCCGCGTGCGCGCACTCTTCAACACAAACGTTTTTGGCCTCATGGAAGTGACTACTGCCTTCACCCCTCTCCTGCTCGCCAGCGTGAGCTCAGGCTATTCGCCGATAATAGTTAATGTCGCATCCGTCCTAGCGCGTGTCCCGAATCTATTCGCTTCCGCTTACAACGCTAGCAAAGCCGCTGTAGCAGCCTACTCGGATACTCTTCGACTTGAGTTGCAGCCGCTTGGCCTCAAAGTCAAAACCTTGTACATGGGAGAGGTATCGACTCCCTTGATGGCGGCGGATAATATCAACTTTGGGCCGGAGAGTATCTACCGCGTCGTGGAGGGTTCTGTAAAGGCACGAACAAACACTCACCTTGCAAAGACGATGGCGCCGGTTCAGTTTGCCCGGGAAGTTGCAGACGAAGTTGTCAGTGGAAAGAGTTCCACCATTTGGAAAGGTACTAATGCCTTTGCGGTTTGGTTTTTGAACGCTGTGGGACCAAGGAATGTATTCGACAGTACCGTGTTGAAGGGGGTTGGACTAGACAAGGAAGACGCCAGGTCGTGTATTTTTAAGCTTGGCCAAGCAAAGGCCAAGAAGGATGCGCCAGGAAAGGGTCAAAGTAGCCAGATATAGCTAGGCTCAAAAGGCTTAAGGATGTTGACATTGTTGAGATTTACGATGCAGGTAGTGGGGAAGAAGAATATATAGACGGTCCTTTTCCAGAGGGATTGTTTATGTCTGATGCCCCCATTTTATGAGAGATCCGCTGTTTAATGAGTGAAAGCTTTGTTCAAGCTATAACTTACTGAGTAGGTTGAATGTTGATCTGATTCATTCCTGAGATATCAGGATGGATGTCTGAAACATGAGTCATCCATTGTCTGATGCCATATGAATCTCAACAGGCATATTTAGCATGCGTAAAGTAATACAAGTGTTCAGTGTTTTGAGTTTCCTACCCTGACTTTGTTAATTTTCTTTGGAATATATATGTATATATGTTTGGAAGAGACAGAAAGCTTGCTAGGGAGAGAGAGAAGCTGTCGCCAACTGACGTAGCGGTTATGCGGTCTTTTAATTCCTGGGTCGATTGCAGGTAGTAACTTAAGATCATTTTTATCGAGTTCAGTGATATTAACCTTGTGATTTGCCCCACATCTGACCGCGGATAATTTTAACTAGTGATCACTCATCGCTCCGATGATCCTGGCGGAGACGGCGTAAATCATAAGCCGAAGCCACAGTGGAGGCCACTCCACTGAAGGCCAATGAGGACCAGTCAATGCTAAGCGCAGTTCCACTTCTATACCTAGCAATCCATCTGGATGAGATAGAGACCTGTCCAAATTATTTATGGAGTAAGGCGCCATCAGGTGGTGTGTATCAAACAAATAAATACTTTGAGAATTTCCCTCCTACCTCAAATCTCAAGTTCTTTTTTTCTGAGCCAGATATGAGTGCCTGCAAAGTTCTAGTGGTGGTCGGCATTACGGGAAACCAAGGGTCCTCTGTCGCAAATGCCTTCCTCAATCTCCAGGGCTGGCACATTCGTGGCATCACCCGAAACCCGTCCTCTCCCGCAGCCCAGCAGCTGAGCTCGAAGGGAGTGGAGATCGTGAAAGCCGATCTGGACGACATCGCTTCCCTCGAGAGTGCATTCCACGGTGCCTCTGCGATATTTGCAGTCACGGACATCTATAACCACTTGTTCAACCCCGCCAACTTCCCTAAGGCACAGGAAGCCGGGATATCCGTGAATGAATATGCTTGCAACCTCGAGACCACACAGGCCATGAACATAGCAATCGCTGCTAATTCACCTGCCGTCTCCTCTACGCTCACGCACTTCGTCTTCAGCAGCCTTAGCGATACTAAGCGCTGGTCGAAGGGCAAGTACACCTGGAACTTCCATTTCGATGGAAAGGCACAAGCAGTGAAGCGCATTCGGGAGGAACTGCCGAGCCTTGCTGCCAAGCTAAGCACTGTTCAGGTCGGAATGTATGCAAGCAACTGGAAGGGGGGGCTTGGGCGCCCTCAAAAGCAGGAAGACGGGTCTTTGGTTGTACAAATTCCCGACGGACCGGAAGTTGAGCTCCCATGGATCGTCGTGGACCGAGATACAGGCGTCTATGTGAAGGCATTGCTGGAAAATTCTCCAGGAAAGCATGTTCTTGCGTATACCCAGATGACCACATGGCGTGAATTTTGGACGCTGTGGGCCGATATTCGGAATGTCAAGATTGATATAAAGGTGGTTGGCCTAGACGACTACTTCAAAACACTACCGGAGTTTCTTTCGAGGGAGTTCCAAGACTCCTTAAGGTATATTGTGGAATTTGGATATACTGGTGGGGACCCTGATGTGTGCTGCACGCTACAAGATTTGTCGCCGGAGTCTAAAACAGCAAGCCTGAAAGAGTACATAGAGGATGAGGACTGGTCTAGTCTTGAGTAATATAAGTTCCCCTTGAGACGTATGAGACGTTGTATATTAGTAAATGATTCTTAAGTTGACTGCACCAGTCATCAAACTAGATATTTCCAGGTAGAGTGGTCATCTTTCACGGAACCCCAACCCGCCCGTCTTTTCAAACGTCGCTATTGAAATCCTCTATAGCCCTCGAAACAATATCAGTATTTATATCAATATCATCATCCTTCATACTTTCTAAGCTTTTTGGGGCGAGTGAAGGAAACCCACAATTTGCCCTTGTTTTCCTCATAGGCTCCGGATTCGCTCGGAATCGGTTATATTACTTGACTGTCTCTGATTCTATCCCGAAGTCTGTTTTGCATTACGCCCTAGCTGTCATGGTTATCACACTTGAACAATCTTTTGGTGGGACTGCATAAGAATACGAATACGAATACGAATAGTTGTAATGTATGACTGGTGCAAATCAGGAACCAAGCCGAATCCTCAGAAATAATTTCATCAGAGAAGTCCTCCCTTCTTCTTCCTTGTGTATTGTGTATACGTTTTGAAGGGGCTGTTAGATGAGATATCGATGCAAATAGAATATACTGAGGTGTGGGAATGGGATAACATTGTTGCCATGAAGAGTAACCACACCGATAATCCCATCGGGAGCAAACCTTTGCCAAATCATGACAAGGTTGCTCAGCTGGAACACACCAATTAGGTTTCCCTTGGGAGCGTGAGACTTCCCCATTTTGCCGAGACTCTTACAGCCAAGACTTTATTCATGCCAGAATTCCAATGTTCGGAGCGACCAACGTCCCATGGTGGGCAGATTTCCTCAGATCATTGCCGCGTTGAGACAAATTCATCGCCCGAAAGGATTTGCAATTAGGCAACCCAAGATATACATTTTGCATTTATGCGCTGTTGGACTGCTTTAAAAAGGATTACCGGCGGTGAAAACTTGGCTATCGCGTGCAGTGCACATTAAATAGAGGCTGGGGCCCCAATTGTTCCTTTCGGTATTTCCATAGAGATAAAACCCGTCGATTGCTGAGACTAGTTGAATCTAGGGTTTGGAAGTCACACCGTAACTCATCGGCGAATGGTTTGAAGGTCTGCACAGTGCACATCTCAGACATCAGGCAGTTGATAATCATGGACTAGATCATTTTAGGCAGGGTTCCCGAATGATCCTAGTATCAATGGATGTTTACGATCGTGTAACAGTGGTAGGAGCACGGCATAAGACTTTTGGGTTGGGCCTTGGCTGTTCAACAGACGAGCCTTAGCTGTATAGTCTACTGCTGCCGCTCTACAGACAGATGAGGCTTTGGCCATAGGTGATCATTTACGTCTGACAATACCATATCACTATACTATATAAAATCTTTCATTGCAGCAGGAAAACTAATGAGCCCAACCAAAATATATTGCTCGACCCGAGGATATTCGTAGGACCTATGTTTTCCTGATTGTGAATTGTCCAATCTTCCAATTTCACCACCCAAGCAGGAAAGTAATGGGCAGCAACATTTCACTTCGCTGCCTCCTCTTCCTCAACCTCTCCAAAAGGATAATCCGTATACCCCACACTCTCACTTCCAGCCTCAACGGTACTCACATAAGCGGTCTTGATGTTCCACTTGGTCAGTCTCTTCCCTAGCCTAATCTTCTCCACCAGATCTGGGTTACTGATAAACCACCTCGCAAATGTGATCCCATCTACCTCATTCCTTTCCACCTCCTCAAAGCAATTCTCGCCATCGTAATTCCCGTTGGTCAATACCGGTGTTGTCTTCAGCACCTCTAAGAAGTGCCTGAGATGGAGGTCCTCGACCGTAGCAGCCACTTTCCCCTCCCTGATAGCTGCGTACATGTTTTCGGTCTTTGTCTTCTCTTCGAGTAGAAGATCGGCCCGCGGCTGAGTGAGGCATACGTATGCGACTCCTCGCTTCTCGACTTCGCTCAGCGCATACCGGAAGTTCGCGATGGGATCTGTGTCTAATGGCAACCAAACGGTTCCCCATGGGCTCATTCTGATTGACACCCTGGATGCGCCGACAGCGGCGATCACCGCATCGAGGATTTCGAGGGTGAGTCGAGCTCGGTTCTCCTTGTTGCCGCCATATTCATCGGTACGGAGATTGGTGTTAGTATTGAGGAACTGGTCGAGCAGGTACCCATTGCCAGAAGACTGCGTCCATCAGCTTCCATTATTATCTCTCAAAGGGAGACCGTTACCTACAATCTCAACACAATCAAACCCGGCCTCGATGGCGCATTTAGCAGCATGCACATGATCATCAACCGTATCCTTGATATCCTGCAATGTCATCGGCTTAGCTGTCTCATGAGGATATTTGACGCCGCCGGGCGTGTTCCTGTTGATATAGCCAATATTGGTTGCGGAAGAACTCAAGGGCTGGCGGCCGCCCAGCGAGACTGAGATTGCAAATCGTCCAACCTGATACAATCTTAGGTCAGTACCTGAAACTTAAAATGATTACTGGGTTGAACTCACATGCCACAATTGACACGCCATAAAAGCACCCTTGGCGTGCACAGCATCCGTCACCTTCTTCCACTACAGCAAAATTAGCAATAATCTCCGTAAACATCGAAAAGCTGAAGGAGTATCCCGGGAGCTTTATCAACAGACATGACTCATGATAAAACCCTCCAGAGAAATCTAGGGAATAGCTGGGGATCTGCACATACAGCCCTCACATGCTCAGGCGCAAACATGCCTGGTACGTTGTAGAAACCTCCACCCTGCGCCAATGTCAGCCTTCATTCTCTATTCCAAAACGCTGTTCCTTAAGTGGATTACACGTTCGGAGCAGTGGAAACGACAAACCATAAAACTCGGGTGCATGCCTTCAGTGATAAGCAGCCCTCCCTTCGTCGCTCTCTGGGTGTAATATTCCATGACCAGCGGAGTCGGCAAACTACCAGGACAGCGCACACGCGTCATCGGCGACATGATAACTCGATGTTCAAGATTCATTGTTCCGAGACGGAGTGGCGTGAAGAGCTTGCTGCTCTCACGGGGTGGCGAAGTAGAACCCATCGTGGTGGATGAAGTGTGCTGTACGCTTTGTTGCAGGCGGGTTAGGTTACTACTGAGTAACAAATCTCAAAACTTGTAATATTTGGTGAGGATAATGCAGCGTCCGTCCTATTCTGTGACTTTATAGTCCGGGATTCCAGGGGTTCTCAATCGCTCCAACTGCGAGCCGCAGCTGTATCTCAACCCCCCAACTCCCCAATGGTCCCAACAAATCACGATTAGTGATCCCGCAGTTATGAAGAATTGGATATTATTGATCTCGGAGTAACGGAGAACCATGTGCCGTCTGGTCGCCAATGCATCTTAGCAGTCTTTTTTGGTAAATCATCCAATTATGGACTTATTAATGGTTCCACATTCAATCATTGGCACTGATTTTATTCACGTCATGTTCATCGCGTCATCTTCATTCCTATTGCACGCCGAATAGAGGCCGCCTCACCGAGCCGTCCGTCCAACCACTACTAGACGGGACACGCGCTTTCACATCTCGTAAACCAGTATCGTACACTACCACAGTACTGTACTTCGTACTTGGTACAGGTAAGACGAACGATACTCAGCATTCGGGAAGCTGATTGGACAACTTCCCCCGTTATAGAAGAACTATTCAGAGCTCGTGACTGCAACTCCTCACCGGATCATAGTTTTACTTGATTTAGTACGTAAGGGCTATGTATCTCCTTAACGTCGGCAACAGCAGAGATTGGGACAGATTCGGCAGGGGCATGGGTAGGCACTAGCTGATGTGTGTACCTACTGTATTATTCCCTCGGGAATGGTTGGCAACTCCACATTTTTTGTCCTGGCGCCCAGAGTACAGTGACGGTCGATAAGCTTGAACAACCCCTAAGGTGATTGAACCGGCAGAATATTATATAATGATAGTGGTGTGGGGCCCAAAGGTGTCAACACTTATGGACCGTCACTGTAAAGTGTCTTATAGACAGCAAGAACCCGTTCTGTCATTACACTCAAATACTCTGTGCATTCTCAACCAACTGCAGCCGCCTCAATTGTTACAGAAATGCTAGACACCGATGGAGGGCAAGCAGCCACTTCTGACCTTCTCCTTACCGTACTGAAGAATACCACGTAAACTGCCGCACTCGGTCCGGTGCTGAATAGTAATCACACCGGCGGACCGGTAACGGCGTAATCTTTACACCGTCCCCGTTAGACCTCCGCATAGCCCACAAATGGGCCCAAAGCCCAACCCACAGCCTAAGAATAGGGGCCCATCGAAGCCTATCAAAAGCCTATTTCAATACATAAATCTACTCTTGATGTGTATAAAGTAGCTGATTAATGGCTATATTCTATGTTTATATTAACCTATATATTTAGTATTATTATATTATCATAGTAGGAAGTACGAATTACGTAGATATTATACTGTATTTAGTGTTATGATACTAGATTTCTTATAAAACTTTATATAAAACCACCCTATAAAGATCCAATTTGACTATAAATTCGTACCTAGGAGGATTGCTAAGTATTAGTATAAAGAGATATAGTTAACTATATAGTATTTATAGAGGATTAATACCACTTTCTCTAGTTAATTGTAGTAATACTTGCAGTACCCCTACGTATTATATAAACCCTTAATAGAAATAAGCACCTCTTGTAAAAAAGTAAAACTTTATAAAAATTAATTTTGATTATTATTTATATCATTTAAATTAGCTTTACAACAGTGCATCCTATAGAGTTTACAGATGCTGATTGTAAAGAGTGCGGAATCAGCCCATTCCTGTAACCCGTAAACCCATGAATCCAAACCTATATAACCCATACATAAGAAATTAACACTTAATGATCGCCGTAGAGTGCACCCTCCACCTTCCATCTCTCACTTCCCTCTCTCCCTCTCTCCCCGTCTCTCTCCGTAAACCGTCCCCTGCCTCAGTTTCAATTGATGGTGACGTTGTCCTGGCCAGTTGATTGGCATGGTTGTCGACTCTGACTGAGTTCTCGTTCCACAGTATCATCTATCGTCATTGGCTAATACCCATCGTCTTCTACACCTATAGGTTGGGTTATTGACGTCTACCAAGCAAGTGGGAATAGCCTTCCCAAAAAATTCAATATCTCAGTTACCTCAATTCCTTGGCTTGCCTGCTGTCATCTTACACAGATCGCAGGGTTACTTTTTGGGATCTGATACTTTTCTACATTCAATCATCCTCCATATATTCACATCATAGCGGTAAACTTCACTTGGAAACGCTAATGAGTGGACACCAAGTCGCCACTGCCACCATTCATAAAGTGAGAACACCCTTGTCGAAAGCTTCGGTCTATCAATTCCCTCACTGCCTTCATTCAACTTCTCCAAACCTGCAAATATCACATCATTATTCTATTTGCCTTCAATCCTTGTTCCAAATCTGAGAGTTATGGATATATCTCTATCAGAGAAAAACCCGAGAAACATGGATGCAGACATATCAGGTACAGCAGTTCTACGCCGAGTGACCAGTCGACGTTTTGATGAATATCGACAACTGAAAAGCTCCTCAGTCAACCAAACGCAACGAGACCAACGCCCTTGATAGAATCCCCGACTAGAACCAACTGCTGTTTGACGGAGTCGGTGCACCAGAACGAAAGCCAGGCGCCGGCGAGTAGCCTAACAGTAAGTACGTCACCAGGCAAGGCTCTAGGTGAATGAAATAGTTAGGGACCTATTTTTGAAACCTAGAGAGTGTGGGTTCGAATCCTGTCGCCGGCATAATTTCCACGTATGAGACACCTACCAAAGAAAGCCTATGCTTCGGTTGACTTAGCTTGTAATTACGCGCTACTTCGCCAATAGCGCTAAGTTCTTACTTCTTAGCAGTCATTCATATCATACATTGTTCGCACACCAGATTTCTGTCACCTTCATAGGGGAGCTTCTTGTTTCATCGTACAATTACACGTTGGTGCCAGCATCGATGACTTTCAGACCTGACAACCCTTCAGGTTTTGGCCAACATATTCCTCAAGTGCCAACTTCATTACTCCCCCGACTACTGCGATCCGCTCACTCCAACCTCACCGTCCTTTTGGTCACTACCTGGGAGTGCAAGATAAAGGATTACAAACGTTGAATGAAGCCCAAACGCAATAAACAAGGCATTTATAACAGTATTGTGGCAGTCATTCACATCTATACTTTGAATCTCCCATCTGACACTTCACTTCACAACTTTCCAGCCTTCACATCCAAGCCTTGCACTCTGTTGATGCGATATCTTTCCAATGGCGCATCTTGTACTCTGGGGCTGGGGAAGGTCCTTTCTGAAACCGTAACTCTCCATTTCCTGTGGAATTACCTTGTCCAGGCTCAACCCATTGACATTCAGTGAACGCCTGCCAAAGCCCTCCTACAAACGAGGAGGCTTTATCTTGGTAATAGCGAGAGCCCAAAATAGGAACAATGGCCCGGGTAGCTTCTTCTGCATGATAAAAGGGTATTTGTCTGTAGCAAAAGCAGTTATCAGCTTGTGAGGCTGGAGGATTCCACCAGAAGATTCACTCACGAAAATAAGTGGTGAATAACGTGGAAATCAATAATATTATGGAAAAAGAATCTGCCCACCCAACCAAAGTCGCGGTCAACCGTGGCAAGTGCACCCTTCAGGAAACTCCATGAATCTTGCTCATATCTCGACAATGATGGATGAGTGTGGTGAAGATATGTGATTGCAACTGGCTTTTGTTAATATTGCTGATACGACACATGTGAATGCAGAGCTATTCCATACCTATCCAATGGTTCACCCACAGCCAAGGAACGACATAGAACAAGATGATGGATTTTGATCCGAACAAATTACCTAAATACCATAGTCCGCTGATAGTCAAACCTATTCCAATATCTGAGATAATCACAGACATGTAATCACCGGGGCTAAACAATGAACTGGTGGGGTCGAAATGGCTATTTTGCCACCATCGCCCAGGGCTCTTTGGGTGTGTGCTCTCTGGGCCTGAGGTCAAGTTGAAGAGAAGATACCAAGGCCACCCAAAGGTCTGTTGGATAATTATCCGGATTGTAGTGACCACGGGAGTATCAGCTGCCAAGTCCTCTAATTTACTCTGCTCGACGTTCAACTTGGCAGCATATGCATCGCGACGGTATGGGACATAATGATGATCCCTTTCCATGTGATTTGCGTGTAAATGATGTCGGCGATGTGTCGATTTCCAAGCAAAATATGGCGTTAGTAACATTGAATGGAGAGACCATCCGATCGCATCGTTGAGCCATTGGCTTTGGGAGAACCCGCCATGACCACATTCATGAGCTAATACCCACAAACCTGTGCCGAAAAGGCCTTGGGTGAAGCCATAAAGACACCATGATAACGTGTAGAAGTAAGGGCTTGTAATTTGAGGAAGTATAAATGCTGCCAATATTGCCAGCGTCACAACACCGAGGATATCTCTCAGCAAGTAGCATAATGAGACAATGTAGGATGGGCGAAAGCAATGACCGGGGATCGCATCGCGGAGCTCGCGGACACCAATCTCTTTAGGTATGGTCTGTTCCGTTAGTCTTTTGTTATAAACCAGTTCAGTCTCACTTACTTCATTGTTGGCCAAAACTTTGTCATGTAACGGGTCCATGATGTTGATTTTGGGAGGGTATGGTTAATCTCTTCATGCCTGGGATCGAAGCCATATTTATGGCTTCTCTTCCATCGCTGTAAATTTATCTACCCCTCACTATAGAATATGCATTTGTAATAGATTCTCTCATATTCCATTGGCCGAAAGGAACCTGTATTGAAATCTCATTATGGGATACAGCGTGCTGCAATTTGTATGGAGGGATAGGTAGTACAGGCGTCCAACTGCATCAATTCCGGAAATCTCATTTAGGATGTGACCTGCTGCAACTTCGATATAGGAATAAGCAGTAAGGCGTCCAATTGCAACAATACCGGAAATCTCATCCTCCAATGCAACGTCCTACAATTCGTATGAAACAATAATTGGGAAGGCGTCCAGCTACATCAATGCGGAAAATCTTATTCTGAGATCTAGCCTACTGCAATTTGTATGAAATAATAACTGATAAAGGCGTCCAACTCATCAATGCTGCTAATCTCGATTTCGTTGGAATTTTGAATTCTTGAAATGCAACAATCGGCGTGTGCAATTAGGTCGTATCTAACTAGGTGTGTGGGGGAATACACAAGAGAATTTGTTAAAGAAATATAGATAATTAGAGATGTTCACCAAGATACTTAAGTTTCGAAGTCATGCACCGAAGTCCCTACGATAGATTAGGGGGTGAACAAGCGGTGAATGCGGACGTGAACCCCTAGAGGACACAGGATATCTTGAGATATAGATTCGCTGTATTTGTTAGATAACGCTCACGTTGCTATATATACCTTGATGTAACTACAATAAGCCAGAATGAGTATGGTGAGAACTATCAATTTATTAATTCTAGTCTGGTATAGCTTGGATTTCTAGTTCCTTCCTCGGATAATATGTTAGACTCCCTAACACTGGCTTATTTCTTAACAATCTTCGTATAAAAGCAAGAAATAGAGGCATTTCAGCATTCGACTGCTACAATAATTGATATCACTCAGCCTAAGCTTATCAGTAAGCGCAATGCATAAAATGTTCTCTATGTCTCAAAAATAACTAGCTTGCTGACATTTTAGCAAATGCAAGGAGGTTGTATACAGATCCTAAGGGTAGATATATGTGACCTAGCTAATGCTTATGCAAAAAAGTCTTTTCCGCCTGACAATACGAATATATAGTAACAAAAGGACGTGGCTCCCATAGAGGCGGCCGATAATCAAAACGTGATAGAGCTGCCCACTCCATCAGGTGCCCAAAATTACGACACTTAGTTAGAATAAACTGTTTTTCCCCCACGCATGGCAGCGGACCAGACTCAGAAATCCCCGCCCGGGATGGCGGATCCAACGTATGGTTGTCCTATTGACCTAGCTGATTTCTTCAACACCTAGGGAGTTTCAAACAGATTTGATATTTCCCTAAAGCATGGTTCTTCAGGCATATTTTGGATTGATAGGCTTCGGATTTTCTAGTTATTCATAATCGGAATGTTCGCGGGTCGCGCAAGCGATACAGGGTACTTCCATGTGATATACAACGCTAGGGTTATCTTTCACTGCGCCTGCCTATACAAAATACTGGTAGATATTTTTGGTGAAGGTCTTTGTCTGTCAATAAACAATAGCCTTCTGTTTCGTCCGGCATTGTCTGTATTATTGACATAATTTTCAACCAAGCGAACGATCGCCATTGGAATATCGTCCTCTGGAGTAACAATCGGGAGTTTAGTTTGTCACATTATAGTCTACAAGTACAAAGACAAGAATTACAGTGAAAGTGTTGGAACTGATCCAAGACTTCATCCAACATATATGGTGTAAGTCGAGTTGATGACGGGAAGGCTAAACTTGTGCGTGGTTTTGATGGGAGAATTCCGTACAATATAACGTATTCGGTAAGCGAGCTGGCCATGTAAGCGGGCTGGCCACCCCCAAAACACATAGTAAATGCGATAAATTACACCTTGATATCTCAACAACGGTGGACTATAGAAGGCTTTCCCTTATATACTGATATTCTTTGGGTGATATTTAGCCTCTCTAGGGAGTTTAGGAAATATATATGACTTTGTGATTATGATATATATATTACTGGCTTTTAGCACCGTAATTTTCTATACCACAATAATGCAGTTTTTCGATTTCCCTAAGATTAATATATAGTATTTAAAATCCTTATCAATAGCTATCGACAAGTAATAAAATCAAATAAAGTTATCGTTGTTGAGATATCAAGTTATACTTTATCGCATTTACTATGTGTTTGGGGGGTGGCCAGCCCGCTTACATGGCCAGGTCGCTTACAGAATACGTTATGCTTTATCAAATAATGCCTAGCTGACCACCTCCTCTTTAACATCATCACACATTTATGTGAGAGCTTCAAATGAAATCGCCATGTTTCCTATAGGTTTGTCTTGAGATTATCACCTTAATGACAGCCTCTAACCAAAATGCCTTTAAGACAGCTTATCGGCCCGGCTTCTAACTGCTTTTCTAGCTGAACTGGACGTAATAGTTTGGGGCTGTTCTCTTCTAGAACAACCAAGGAGCATCTATACACTATTGAACATCGGCTTGGACGAGTGACTTCTTGATTGAGGTAGCATACAACTTGGTCTTTTAGGGCACGTCATCTAGAACGATGGTGCTCATTTTATTCAGGTATTTCATAAATCTGCATATGTATAAAAGTCACCCCCTGTCACTTCAGTCTATACAGACTGATGGCAATGGCGATTTTTAGCCATCAGATAATCTACATTGTCTTCTGTGATTGCTTCCAAACACTTGAAACAAATGTTACCCGCCCCGAACAACTCAATGCTATGCCCTTGGCCTGTTTGCGATAGGATGTTAACAGCTGCGAGCGGGCTGCCCAATTGCCGTGAACACGGAATGTTCCCACGCCCCCTGGGTTATCGACCGGCTCATCATAGTTATTGATGGAGCTATAGTCATATTCCAGGTCATGGTCTCCGCGTTCATGTCGGTCGCATTGATTGATTATGCGAGGCAGCGCTCCGAAGTTGATACAGAGCATGTCCAGGTCCGCAGCCTATTTTCCCCGATCTAGAACGAAAATGACAGCTTCCACGATAACGTCTTGGTCGATCGTCCGATAGCCGCCAGCCTCTAGGGGAAATCGCTAGTCTGTGAAGGAAATATGCAAGGATGTCCCTGCAAAACTATTCTGGCGCTGGAAGTCGTATGAAGGGTGTGATATCGTAGTGTACTCATTGCTTGGCGGGCGAATCTTTGGCTCCTCAGGTGCAACGAGTCATAATTGCTACCTGGACAGATTTTCTGGTTAAACCCCACAATTCCACCAACCACTGGGCAGCATTATTATGGCGACGCTGGCTGACATCCCATTTTCTGAAAATATAACCAAGTACGGCCATAGTGATCTCCCGAAATGTCCGGGTCACCATAGTACCGCAAATATAAAAACATTGAAATTTCCTAACCGCAGGAAGAAAAGGTTGACCCATTTCCCCTCCTATGGGGGCTGGAAACTACCCCCGGTATGGCTTAGTTTCACACAAGCGACTAGAGACTAACATGGAATTCGAGATATCATAGGACACGGGCATTCCGATGATATGCCTGTGCTCCACTTCACCCCACTTACAGTTGGTGAGAATGTAGGGACTAGCATGGATGTCGAGTAGCTGCGCCATTGGCGGCTATGCACTGGACCATATTTAGCACAACGACGGCTCAAAAATAGCGCAGTGTCCCCCATCGCTTCGAATTCTTCAAAATTGCGGTTTCGCATATTCCGAAGTTATAGCGCTATTGACTAAGGTTTATTTTCCCCCCGAATATCTACATCGCGATGGAGCAATCATCTAGAAAGAAGAAGCTCTCCAAGCAGGAGGAACGGGAATTGATTGATAAACACAAAATCAAGTTCGAGGGGCCCATCTCACCTGCTAGTTGGCCGGAAGGAAATTCAGCCATATTCACCAGCATCCGCAAAATCGAAGACATTAAATACAACAGCTACCTGGATCAAGTCCAAGCCAATACTCCGGAGGGCACCCGAAGGGCAAAAACGGTAGACAAGGCTAACCGTCTTGTTTCTGCTGCCTATGATTGCCGTATTATTGAAGCCAACGAGTTTACTTGGAGGTCCAAGACAGAGTTCCCTCTACTAGCCCGTTTTGAGGAAGACAGAGAGTGGTAAGTTAAACGTCTAAAACTCAACTTCGGATCGAATCTAATTTTGCTTCAGCCGGAGATGTCAACAGCGACGGTGGGCTCCTGATGCGCTGCCGATGACACCAAATGAGGGACAGAAAATGCAAACAGCGCAGGGAGGAGTGGGAATTTGTCAGTGCATTGAAAGCGATATCGATGGACATGAGGTAAATGGATCAAATTCAATCTTCTAGAAAATCAGATGGTTAACATTGTTTGCTTGCTAGTCCGTCATCAATAGTGCAATATTTGCCAAACAGGTGCACGCAGGAATCAACGATCCTTCCGTTCCTGAGATCGGAACCAAGTACCCTGATATGATCATCGGGCTTCAGAAATCACCAATACTCAGCCCTGCCCTTCAAGGCCATTCAAGGCTAGTTTCCAGTCCAGTAAAGGATGCAGAGCATATCTTGTTTCCTTTTCTGATTCTCGAAGCCAAATCTGAGATTCAAACACATGGGTTTACGGCTATCGAGAAGCAGACTGCGTTCCCCATAAAAAGAATTGTCGATATTCAAAGGTCTCTGAGAAAGAGAAGGCAAGAGCCAGAGGGAAACAGCCTAGTTTGGTTTTTGGCTTTCAGTGGGGATGAATGGAGAGTCTATGCGTGTGTTCCAAGAGGAGATGAAACAGTAAGTCTCTTCGAAGTGGCCAGAATGCCTGACTGACATGAAGACAGAGTATAATCGACCTTTGGCACGGGTGCATTCAGAGACATGACTCTGCGCTGCAATTGTGTTTGATTGTTGACTTTATATGTGACTGGGCTTTGAATATCCATCGGAATGAGATCATTAGATTGTTTTCTGGCCAAATGAACACAACAATCAGCAATTCTCTTCCTACTTTGCATGAACGTGATACTCAAAAGTTGCCGCCTGAGTATTCCACCCCGCCGAAGCGACAATCCGTCATTCGAGATGCCAATGAGGTGTTCTTCTCATTTCGCCATCTCACACTCCCTGATGCGACGGAAGAGCTGGTTGCGATTCTCAATCCACCTGGTTCGGGAGGTTATGAAGTCATGCAAAAAGCCATCAGACTTTTGAATCTCTTCAATCTAGAGCATCCACTCTTGGTCACGGCGGAATTTATTTCTCATCTACAGAAGCTTTGGACTGGTGCAACGAGCGATCATCCAATACTTCACAGCGATCAGTCTGTTTGTGCTCACATTTCCTTCAAATCATACTTTCGGCCAAGCGACTTCCACATAGTACGAAAAATTTCATGCATAACGGCATCATTCAGTGCAATAAGTACTCTGCAGCATCTGACCAGAACTAAGCTTCCTTTGTCTTCTGTCTATGCAGGCCTAAACCCGGATAAAGTCCTTCCTTTGGCTGAACTATCTGGTGTTCATTCGTTGAGAGCTGCTGCTAGGAACTTGCCACTCACATTATGGGTAACTCAAAGGGATTTCACTGCGCAGCCATCCTGTAAATGGGTGAAGCAAGTCTCTCATGGAGAATTTGTATCAAGCATCTGGGACAAACTAGCAACCTGTTCTCCTGGGGTTCTTCGGTTTCCTATATTCATGGACTCAGGTGAACTCCGAATGATGCCGGCTACCAATAGCCCCCTATCCTCTGACCTGGAAGATTGTCTCAAAGAGGGAAAGCACCAGCTCCTTTACGGAGCCGCTCTTATCAAGACACCTGATAGCTCACTCCAGCCGTTTAATCCCCAGTATTGCTTGACCGTATTTGATGGCTCCGACTTGGACGATCGGCCGTGTCTTGGCTTTAAATTATTGCACTTGATTACAACCGGCGGTTTGTTTGAGGGAAAACGCCTGTCCACTGCGACCACTAAAGACCGCCAATACATTTACGACTGGGCCACTCGCCTAAGGCGCGGTGATTCTTGAGTGCCAATTGTTATCTGCAGTCTAGGAAGCACTTGTCATGTTGTAAAACATTGGTTCAAAGCTTCTTTCTCAATTTTGTTTAAATCCTTTCACAAGAGGACGGTACTATATACTACATTAAGCGTTCAACATTCAGCATCACTTTTGACTAGTTTCCTTTTTCTATCATCTTCTACATCTCCTAGTACACGTTCTACTACTATCGATGGAGATAGAAAAGGCGACGAAGGAGCCTTGGAAGCAGTATACGAGCTACCAACTTCTACTCCATTCTAAATTATATTTTCAACCCTCTATTATCACTTACCTATATCCATAGAATACCCAGTGTGGTGGGGAGCCTGTCTCCCCACTACGCATTGCGCTCTCCTCTTCTATTTTGGATTTCTATGAATTTGCTACAAAAACGTTGAATTATAAGGTTACAAGTAGTATATAGACACAGATTGAGAATACACACTCCTACACCTCTCTGAATCCACTTCTTGGGAAGTGCACCAGGGTTCCTTTTACATGCAAAGTCGAGTATGAAGTAGAACTACGAGTGCTGAATCGACCCGTATGCCTTAGAGCATATTGCCTTGAGCGTTCTCCTCTTCACTGGGTAAGCTAGCCGTATCACTTGCTTTACACTCAGTTCGGAGTAGTGCTTATGGTTAACATTTATAACCGTGCTTAGACCTAGGGTTCTATCAATACCAATAATATATCTCTGAAGACAACACTTACTGGAACAATCATCTCTATCGAGAGACCAAAATATGCTGGGTAGGTGGGTTCTCTACTCGAATACGCACGCAAAGGTCGCTCCAACCGCTAACAGATATCCACGGCTAAATGAATTTTCCAAACGCCTTTAGTCCCTGCCGCTATGTCTGACTCTGGGTCAATAGAACACTCTATTGTCCTACATATTCAGATTGACTTTGATACCTTGGAACTCCATGACAGTCGTTTTTAATTTCTTATGTATGGGTTTATGGATTTAAAGGGTATGGGTTTACACGAATGGGCTGATTCCTCACTCTTGTACGAATCAGCATCAGCGTACTCTTTGGGAGCAATCCCAACTCGGGGTTTGGACTCGAGTTCTTGTTTCACTTGGATGAAGCGCCTGCATAGTCATACGCAACTAGTTAGACGGCAACAGGTTAATTGAACTTTGATTGATTGATTCTGACTTTCTGGGCGTTTGGCGTTTTATAGTGGCATTGGTTGGATTATCCGGCCAAATGGAGTCAATGCTGATGTATATAAAAGTGGCACCAAGGCGACATAGAAATACATAATCAAGTTCGTGTCAACTTTAATAATCTAACTTCCCCAAGTAGTGAGGGGATACCCCAAGAGAACGATACTATGTAGAGATCTGGAAATATTGAAGGGGACTGGGAGCAAAACACAGAGACCACATAACCTAGCTAGACCAAGATTCATGTCAAGTACCTTCAAGTCAAACGCGATCGGCATACCGCTTTCAATCATTCCTTCTTTCGTACCCGGCTCTCTCCCGCCTGTCGTATCCACGACTCCTGTTCTGGCGTCCATATCGCGGCAATTTCATCACACTGCACTGTGATACTCTCGCACAGGCGGATCTGTCGGGCAGTATCCTCGACCCCCTGCAGAACTCGAAGGACATTGAGTCCCAAAATATTTTGAATTTGATCGTCGCTTACCCCTCTGCGGAGTAGTTCGGCAACGAGATTCGGATACTGCGATACGTCGTCGAGATCCTGGGGCCCGTGGAGCATGCCGTCAAAGTCGGACCCAATTCCCACATGAGCTAATCCGATCCGTTTGCCCACGTAGAGGATATGATCCGCGACATGGGAGACCGTTGCAATTTGCTTTTCTTCTCCTGCAACTGGTGCCGGGGCGACGAGTTGAGGCAGGAAGCACACCATGATCACCCCACCGTTCTGCTGAAGGAGGCCGAGAACTTCATCTGAGACATTTCGGTGGTGCGGTGTCACTCCCACACTAGCTGGTTAGCAGGTTCTTGCCATCGGGACAACTTGCAAAATTAACTCACCAGGAGGAATGCGAGAAAATGACGGGTGCCTTGGATATCTGGAGAACGTCGCGTTGTGTGACATCATTGGTATGAGATAAGTCCACCATCCTATACGAGAGTTAGGTTGGAAAATTTCTGTGCGGGCATACAGTTGGGTTCCTACATCCCAATCCGATTCATTTCTTGGATGATGCGTTTCCCATCGTCTGACAAGCCCGTCTGCGAGGCGGAGGAACTCTGGACAGAGGTATCAGCCGAGTACTAGCTCCGATACCGAATACAGAATATAGAGCCTTTAAAAATGAAGAGCAGTATCTGGAACATGGCACTGACCGAAGTGGCGTATCGATTGTCGCAGTTGTGGGTCAATGTGATGTATCGTACTCCTAGCCGATGATACATTCTCAACACGCTCACGCTGCCAGCGATCTGATGTAGACCCTCAACCCCTATCAGGCTAGCTAGTCGACCGGATCGGAACACCTGCCATACTTCATCGGCCGAGCGGGCTAGGCCGAGGACGCGTGGATACTTCTCGATTAGGGAATGGATGAGGTCGATCTGCTGGAGGGTCTGGGTGACCACGAGGTCGCTTCCCGTAGCATTGTCTTCGGGTTTTGCACTGAAAGAGGGTAACCCCCATATTATTAGCTGAAGTGATCGCTAAGGGTGGGTTGTCCAGAGTGAATTTCTAACCAGGGAATAAAAGCACTCCAGAATTGACCACCCACATGACCCTCTCTTAGCCGGATAAAGTCAGTCTGTCCGATGGGCAAATGATCCGGATCAAAGCCCTCTTGCTCCAGTTTGTTCTGACAAAACCCTCTAAGGATGAAAGGAAAATCGTTATGACCGTCTGATCATTGTCAGTGTTGCACTTATCCCGTACTAGGATGTGACATACGGACCAATGAGGGGGGTCTTGGCCATGAGCTTGTACGCTCTCTCAAGGTATTCTTCCATTTGAGGTTTTATTCTGTTGTACAATACGAATTAATCTGCTAGAGAGCTTTCGAGAGGTTATTGTTGGGTTCATATAAAGTCGCGGGGTGGTCCTTCGGGGGCCGCATTGCGGTCCGAGGAAGGTTACTTGATGTCGGCATCTGAAAGCTACAGATCAATTCGGGTTCTTCGGGAAACTAATTAATAGGCCAATTTAATGGTATCCTCTGTCCTCTATCATCACAGAAGCTCACCATCATGCTACCATGCTTACTACCAAACTGCCCGGCCCCCGTAATTGATCAGGTCGCCATGCCCCATGCCCCAGATCCTCGAATGCACGTGGTCATGCCAAAACCACATAAAATGATACACCATTACAATGACTTGCCCCAGCCACGGCGGGCAATGCCCACTATCATCAACGACAATCTTCGTCGTTCGTGCGAGCACTTGGATTACCCGTCGCCAGAAGAACAGGAACAGCAAGGCCCCCATGGTCTGGAACCATGACTTCTTGACGGAATCGGCTCCGTAGACGGGAAGAGACTCGAGATATTTCTGATAGCTGACCGGGATATTATGTTCCTTACATCCCTCAAGGATCAGTCCCTATTATTATCAGTCAGAAATGTCACGAAACCACTCTGCTCAAATACCTTCAGCGGAGGTTGGAGATGGCTCTCTTCCGTAACACCAAGATGAATAAACATTACATACCATATACCGTCGACTAGGCCCTGAATTGGGCCTCCGGGGATATTTTGCTTTCAATGTTTGCGCCATGATAGGTTGTTCCTTTGTCCGCTTAGTCCCATCGGATTGTGTCTTGAGGATGTATGCCTCGACAGTGATTTCATCGTATCCAACCCCAGATCCTTCTGACAGGACGAGTCGGAGATAGTCCTCCCTCCGGAGTTGGTACAGCACTCCATGGACGGGGGGTATGGGCGATGTATCTGTTGTCGAGAGTGTATAAACTTTTGCGACCTCGTCCGTCTCTGATTTCGAAGGAAGTAGGGCGATACTAGCGAAAGAAGGCTCCGTATAAGGGATTCCAAAAATGTCAAATGTGAGAAAGTGCGTTGGCACCACGCCGACTTTGATAGAAAGAGGAGTAATTCCGCGGTTGATCATAACAGACGATTTCATGTTGGATCCATAGCCGAAGTACCAGACCATGTCCGCCATTTTCAAGGATAGGCAATATAGGATAGTTGATAACTGGCAACTTTTCCTGCCTCATATTCATACAAGAAGATTATATATCAAGTGCGCCTTTCTCTACATTACAAGGTTCTAATTCGTACCTGTAGAACCCTCTTCAATACGCCCGACACGGAGCCCCCGCCGGCTACATGTATGCCCGGCACTCAATAGCGGTCCGATTAGGAGGCGAGCGAGAACGAAATAAGCAATACAATGAGACCAAATATGAATTTTCTTTTCTCCATAGTTTTCATCAATTTCCCCTTCGAGGTGTGGTTCGGATTGCATCTCATCGGACCGTATCTCGGTCAGTCAGTTAGGGTTGGTGGGTCTAGAATCAGCTAAAAATGCGCAGTAATATTGTAATAGTATGGAAACATTCCATCCTCGTCGCCATTGTACCTATGAACTATTTCCTTTCGTCAATACCTTTAATCATATCTTTAGCAACATGAACCCTTCCTCCGGACTATCCACCCATGCCGGATCGACGATTGCCCAACTCCTGCCCGGATTCAATTTTCCCAAATTAGACAAGAATTGCAATGACTCGGCCACTAGTCCAATCGATATGTCTGTCGGCGAGAATTCGGTGCTTGCCGATGAAATAGTTTCAATCTGCAAAAACGGCGTGCAATCTAGCTTTGCGACGGATCATCTGGCATACCCCAAGAGCCCGCTGGGTGATCCTGAGCTGTTGGAAGTTTTGGCCACCTTCTTTGATGCGTATTTCCGGCCTAACAAAAAGCTTGCGTCCTCGCATGTGGCAGTCGCAGCGGGAGCGTCGGCGTGCCTCAACGACCTGATGTATAGCATCTGCGAACCGGGAGATGCAGTCTTGGTACCTGGTCCATATTGGAGTGAGTATTACCCGATAGAACGCGGAAAATCAAAAGATGAAATAAAACGTGGGAGTTTGATACTGAATCTGGCAGACGGATTCGACTTCCACTTCAATATCCGAGCTCAGGTCACTCCGATTACGGTCTCTCTTCCCCGCTTGGAGGACCAATTCACGGCCGAGTTGATCTCAGCGTTAGATAACGCATATAAAAGCACTTCTCAAACAGTTCGAGCTGTCGTACTCACCAACCCCCACAATCCATTAGGGCAATGTTATCCTAAGGAAGTCCTCGAGGCATGTGTCGTGTTTTGCGCCCGTCGCAATCTCAATCTCATTTCGGACGAGGTCTACGCCCTCTCTACCTTTTCGAGTACCGACTTTCCTCGTGGTCCGATTCCATTCACATCGATCTTATCTTTAGATGTGGCGGCGTTGGGCGGAGATCCATCGCGGGTGCACATGATATGGAGCATCAGCAAAGGTTTTGGCTGTAATGGACTACGACTAGTCAGTGTTGTAAAATATGCGCACATGAAACTAGTCCACTAACAAGCGTGTTAGGGCTGCACTGTGTCCCAGAACAACCAACCTCTTATTCTCCACCTGGGTATTTCGGCTAGTCTAAACTTCTCGTCGGTCAGCTCGCTAATCACCAAAACGCTCCTCACATCGCCTCGGCTGCCGCAGTTACTTACCCTCAGTTCCCAGCGCCTGGGACGCTTATACAAGATCATCACCATGTTTTTCAAGACCCATGGCATTGAATACATTCCTGCATCGGCCGGCCTCTTTGTATTTGCGCGACTGGTCCCGAACGCAACCAAATGGGAAGAAGAAGCTGCCATGATCCGTCGGTTGAAAGAGGCTGGAGTGCTAGTGGGACCGGGAAAGATCTATCATACTGCCGAAGGGGACAAAGGATGGGTTCGATTGACATTTGCCTTGAGGGAGGATATTCTCCAACAGGGCTTACAACGGTTGCAGAGGGGATTGGAGGAATCCTAGCCACGATATGGTGCTCAAACTCTAGGCATCGTAGGTATACAGAATAGCCAATGATCAAATGATGCAATGTACCGAGACTCAAAATATTGCAAAATATGGAATTTGGCTAGAATTTCTAGAATTTCTAGAATTTCAACGCAAATAAGGGTTTAATGATTGTTTGAGAGTTTTGCTGGAGTTCGATGGCCGACAAACTGCTTTCGCACCTAATTGAGACGAGTCATGGGATCCCATCCATCCATACTGATATAACAAGAGCCTTGCGATGATTCCAGATTTTCAGTGTTCGAATTATGTGAAGCTTGGAAGACTAATAAATCGAAGACACCTATCAAAGTGCATGTTCTATTACGTTACATAAGCCATAAATTACTTCCAAGGTTAAAAATCCAACTGAACGAACTAACAAGGACGGTGCCATATTATGGGGGTGGTGCAAATGCCATTGTAGGAAGGAAATATTCTGATAAAATCGGGCTTAGCGACCCTTGCATGCTCCAAAGTCTATTTACATCATAGATCGTATCTCCAACAGATCTCAAGAATCCTCTGTAATTTTCGGCTCTGCCGAGTACAGCTCCGCTTGCAACTGTCCAGCCAATCCTCCCGCCACTAACGTCCCCGACGACATGGCCATTACGACTGCCTTCATTGGCCCGGCGCAGTCACCCGCCGCAAACACGCCCGGGACGGAGGTACTATAGAACGGCTCTGTTGTCTTGATATCGCCATCAGACGTGAGGTGCAATCCTAGTTGTTCCGCGAACGGGCCATTGATTTCCGTCTTGGGTTTGTGGGCCTATAGGTGGTCAGTGTTCACCACGCTTCATTGCAGTTAGGGGTGGGGTATTCTCACTAGGAATCCCTCCATCCTTTGGGTACCATCCTCAAATCCTACCTCCACGTCCGATGGACCCGGTCCCTTGACCAGGCGAGCGATAGGCCTACTATCGACCTTAATACCTGAATCACCGCTGGCTTTCTCTAGTGCCTGAGTGAGCTCTTGCGCGCCGTGCGTATAGATTGTGACGATTGTGGCGAACCGCCGGGCCATACGTGCGACGTGCATCGCCGGCATACTATTTGCCAGATCGCCGATAGCGAGCACGCCGGCAGATTCGCGGCCTCGTTCTTCAAATCCGTGGCAGAAGAGACAGTGGAATCTAGTATGCCGTGTAGTGTAAGCTGTAGCAACAGCAAACTAAAAAGAAACGAAAAGGAAATAACACGGGATGCTTACATTCCTAGCGCCCAGCAATCTCCATATCCCGGGATATCTAGGAAAATATCGCGAACTCCATTGGCGAGCACCAACTTCTTCCCTATCCATACCCGATCTTGGGAGTCGACAGCATTGAAGCCTCCTTCGGTATTCCGTGCGACCTTCTTGATCTCGACATTCTCAAATTGGATCGTGTCGTAACGCGATAAAATACGCTCTCTAGCGGCCTGGCGAAACTCTTCCGGCGGCTTGTGATCCCACGTAGCGACGTTATGCATATGGCTCGTGAGGGAGTTGCGATAGACCCCAGAATCGAATACGATAGCTCGATGAAGTTGACGCGCGAGGCCAGTGGCGACCGATAGCCCGGCCGGGCCTCCACCAATGATGAGGGCGTCGAAGATGGTCATGGTTGATTTGTGATCGTGATCGAAAATTTGAAAATTAATGTGAGTTATGACACTTCACGGGCCTTCTTTTGTATATTTAAAAATGCCATTTCTCTGAACCCAATGGCAAAACAAAGAACTAAAAGTGGAGACTTCGGTGGCATATCATCTACGGGCCGTTTGGGGGCATTCCGGACTAAGAACGGACTCCGAGCATACTTCGGTGATCCACATCAAATAACAAACCATACGAAAGTAGCAGGGGTCTGGGTCCCACCACACCACTAAGTGTCCGAACATGTCGTCCAGTGGATGTTTGATCCCCGTATTTAACCGTCAATCTTATTGACTC